AATATATTTATCCAATGTCTTGCAGGTATTTCTAATTTTATAAACACAGTCAATGAGTTGTGAGAATTTTCTACTTTTCGAATTAATTAACCAGCTCAAAGGTTCCATCTGTACGTCAACATGTAAAAAAGGTGCTCGAGTGAAATGACGTCATAGACTACGTCATCACTTTGTATAATGCGCAGCCACTTTGGTTTATGGTGCTTACTTTTGCGAGGAACGGTTTCATGCGAGCAATTACGGTGATAGGGGAAGGTAAATGTACCGCATATGTTATTATGCTGAAATTTATCGTTAGTTGTCTACTTTTTTAACGAAACTAACGAATTTTTAAAGCTTAGATTTTTTTTCTTATGTAAGTAGTTGACAAACGAGCTGGCGGTTCGGTTGTTAAGTGATACCCGCCATTGACATTTGCAAATACTTTGCAAGTCCGAAGGATAAGTTACTGAGACTGTGCGAAAATTGCTTTAACCAATTACCCTTAACATCATCCACTGGTGAACAAACGCATTCAAACATTCGAACATTCAAACACCACAACGAACGATTTTGCCATTTGCACCCTCAACATCCTACGAAAAATCTCAGCTAGACGCTTAGTAGGTCATTATTTTGTTCCCTTGTTTAAACATAGTACTGCAGTTATCGGCGCTTTATTCTTTTATTGTAAAAATGGCAAGCGAAATGGTTGTTCACCTGATGTTAAATGATGACCGCCGGAGAAGGACATCTGCAACACCCGTAGGGTTGCAGTTGTGTTGCCACCTTTCAATAAAGTTCAATCCTGTTACTTCACTCACCAGAGAAAACGCAGAAGTATAGCTCCACTTGTACACTGTCAGGTCGTGGCCCTTCCCTGGACGAGCCTGCCCAATTATTTAATCTGGAGCGATCAATGTTGCACGAATTAATACACATGAACAGCAGAGAATTTCTGCAGCCAACAGCAGTCTGCTGTGGCACAAAAACTACTGCGGCCCTACCCAGTCTTCCCATCTTATTAAAATTTTAAGATCAGAAAAATAGATTTCCACTGAGTTTTCACATTCAACAACGACTACATTTCTACTATCAAGATAAGCAAGGACTAGTTTGTCTGCGGTGAACAAATCACCAGCCTATGCGTAGTTTAAAAAATACATGTAGATTTTCAAGATATATTTAATGTAGGCTAAATGTGTATATAAAACGTATTTACTATAAATTCCTGATAGTTAAGTAAGAGTTCGGGCGCTCGCTTTCAAGTTTTACATAATATTCCAGTATCGGCATCAACAAAATAATTGAAAAACCAAGACAAAAATCATAAGAAAAGCAAGAACGGTATCACGAGATGCGGACGTGGCTAACCGAATCCACGGCTGAAACCTCGATGCGCAGCAATTGTATGGGGATTATTGCTGTAGCAAAGCTTGGCGTGTTCTGGTGCAATTTCAACTAGACCGCACCTTCGAAGCGTCCTTTAAGCTCCTCGCTACTATCTGCCAACTATCTCTTAACGAAATTAGCCCCCAATGCAGGCCATAAATCCAGGGCTGCACCATGAAATGAGGCCGATGACCCTCGCGTGTTGGAAGTGCAATAAACTCGCGTCGGACAGCCCTGCTTATTTATGCTCCCCTGGTAGACTGGCACTTCCCCATGTTGTAAAGGTAATGGTATATTTATTATTAAAGTGTATTACTACAATCTTTTGTGTGATAATGAGGGGTCCGCTCTATGGAATTACGAAATATATATCTATCACAGATCATATTAGTCTTTTATTTTATAATTGAGTAGCTGCTGCCCGCGACTACGTCTGCGTAAAAGAGGCTGAAGGCGTAACATTCAGACAAAAAGACCTATAATAAAGGCCTATGTCTTATTATTCTGATAAGCTATATTATTCTAAAGTTTCATTAAAATCCATTCACTAGTATTTGCATGAAAGAGTAACAAACATCCATCCATACATACAAACCTTTGCCTTTATAATATTAGTAAAGATATTGTTTATTAACTATGACACAGTTATGATGAGTCGATGGCGCAGTTGTTAAACTATTTGCTTTGGCTAATTCGGCATTGGATTCGATCCCACATGGGACAAGTATTTATATCGAAGAAGGATTCAAATCAGGCAGGCGGCTAGTCTTAAAAAAGAACATAGCCAATTCACATAAGGGCGGAAAAAAGAAGACGAATTATGTCAAGGTTATGTAGATACTCACTTCAGTCTAATCTTTTTTATTTATCGTAAAATATGTACAAGAAGATAATGAGAAGTTTCGGCTGGTGAGTGAGGTAGCCGGGGCCCACTTTATTTAAAGGCGGCAACGCATTTGGAATTTCGAATGGCGCAGTTATTAGGCTGTTCCTTTGTCGTCGTCCTTCGTGGGTTAAATCTATCGATATAGCACGTCATGATAATGTAATTTTAAATGTTTTTTTTTTCTTGTGTTTACGGCTTCTTATCTGATTTGATCATGAGGGATTGCTGATGCGTTGCTAACCTTTCTACAAGTGAGCCTCGCAGCCTACCTTACTCGACAAATAGAAATAGATACGGATTAATCATATCAATCAAATCACATCAAATATATCTTTATTCAAATAGACGCTTGCGCGTTCTTATGAATCGTCAGATTTTACATAAAATTTGGATTTGGAAATTAAATAAAGTTCGGAAAGCCGTTTCTGCTGAGAAGATACCGGCAAAAAACTCAACAGTTGCACTTTTAAAAAAATATCAGTTTACAATGTGCCATTTATCTCAATGTCATAAAAAAGCTAAATAAAAGCAGAAAGTTTGATGCGAGTGTCCTTAACCCATGCAGACTTCGTGAATTTCAACACATAACCAAATGCGTACAAATCAATACTCACCCTAAGAACGGTAGTAAAAGTTACCCACTAATTTGTTACCAAGTTGTGTTTGTTCGATATACAAACAAGCAACGACCGCACGACAATTATGCGTCTATACATTGTACAGTTGCACGTATAAACCGCTTTGAAGCAATCGACAATGGTTGGCATCGCCAAGCAGAGAGCCAATCAAGCTCCGGTCTACTTTGGTCATCCATTCCAGTTCTGGAAGGTGAGTTTATACAGTAATTACTAACATAACGCACGTTAATCGGTCACGGCATTAAAATATTGGAAAAGATGGGAGTTGAAATTTCGTAAATTAGTTTTAAAACACTGTGCTATATACGTATAAATTTAAGAATTCGTCTTTTTTGATTAGGCAAACGTAATTGTTGACATTTCATACTTTACAATTCAAAAATGCCTTTTTTATTCCACAATCTCATACCAGTAACAAAACTTAAACTATAGAGAGTTACAAACAGACATAGGTATTACTTAACAATTATGTGTAAAGAATAACAGATTTATTATGATATCACCTTCATCGATAAGATACTAGGATAATGCAAAACATTGCCGTTCATATAAATGATAGTCAATACACTCCGTTCCGTTGCAATGACAGTAATGGATATAAATGTTTAGAAAAGAGATAGCATATTCGAAGGATTAAGTAATATTTTTCTTATGAAATTAATATAAACTACTTTAAAACATCTAGAAGAACTACTTTATTTCAAAAAGAATAGCGTGAACAATGTCGTGGCCCAAGATAATTGTCGACGAAGATTAATGAGAGAATTACAACAGTTAAAAATGAGTGTTTTCATACTTTACTGTATCACTACATAGTATAAAACAGAGTTGTCCCACTGTCCGTCTGTCCCTATGTATGCTTAGATCTTTAAAACTACACAACGGATCTTGATGCTATTTTTTTACTAGATAGAGTGATTCACGAGGAAGGTGTATATGTATAATACATGGCACCCGTGCGAAGCCGGGGCGGGTCGCTAGTTTAATAATAACTTTTCTAATATATGATTTATTACATGTCTCTGGCAGAGAATAAATTTTCTTTTTCTTCGTTCCAGATGCGTCAGCGGTGCGACTTGAAGACCTTAATAAACGTAGAAGATATGAAGAAGATGTCAGACGTTGTAGACTATGACAGCGTACATGTACAGAAGTAATTTTTCAACTGTAATTAACATTTATGGCTGAGGTTGGAAATTAAGAACCAGTTTTACCTCACTAGCGAGTATCCACCGCCTGCCTGAAACACCAGAAGAGTTGATGGTCTTCCGATGTTAAGTCTTTACTTCTGCCTGCACTAGTTTCATTTAAGAGTCGCAAATATATAAATACTTCTTCATTGCATGGGCCTTCTGTGAAACCGTGCCGTGAATACAGCATGAATTTCTGCGTATCTACTACAGTAAAAAATATTGATGAGTAGTAACCACCTAATGTAATGTTAAATGTTCACTATTTTATGCAGCATAAATTGTAGACACTGAATATTACAATGAGTATGCAAAGCATACATGACATTATAATATTACTAGCTGATTCGGCAAACGTTGTTTTGCCATATAAATTATTTGTAGGGTAGAAAAAAATGTTTGCGTTGGACCACCCTTAACATTAAGGGGGATAAAAAATTGATGTTGTCTGACTCTCTACCCTGGCCGATATGCACACAAAATTTCACGAACATCGGTCGAGCCGTTTCGGAGTAGTTCAATTACAAACACCGTGACACACGAATTTTATATATTAGATTTTATTATAATAATACATTATAAAAAAACAACAATTATAAAAAAGTTGTCATTGGAAGGATTCAGTGCTTTACCGACCCGAGCGTGGCTGTCCACTTTGTTTACTCCCCAAAACACATTACGTTAAGACATGGTAATGTATTTCACGATGTCAAATACATTACCATGTCTTAACGTCTCAGTTTAATTAAGAATTAATGCATTTTTTACAGAGCTATTATTAATAGAGTTGAAGAGAAAGTAAGAGAGATGTGGAAGCAAGAAGATAATAATTTATGACAAAGAAGAAGGAAACTCAAAGAGCTTCTTGAGCAAGAAGAAGAATATTTGCGGCAAGAATTGTTGACCAAGCAGTCTATGGAAAGTTGCGGTTACTGTAAAGAACGAGAGGTCAAGACACAGAAAAGTGAAGATGACCTTAAAAAGAAGACAATGATAGAGTGCAAAAAAGCTTTAGAAAGAGAAAAAATGTATGGCTTTCAATTTATTAATATTTAATATACATGTATAAGTCACTGGAATTATATTGGACTATAATAAATATCCTTCTGCTTGGCAAAGGCCTCCTCTGTAAAGAGGGTATCGGGTATTTAGAAAATATGCAGGTTTCCACAGGATTCCTTCACCGCTAAGCACGTGATAATTCAGCACTTAAAATTAACAATTTCACTGGTGCTGGCACCGAGGATCCGGGTTGCTCGAATAAATTTAATTAAAGGACACGGACAAAACCCGGACACTGAGCTATCACGGCTCATACTGCTTATTCCCATTTATTCCATATCTAACCACATTTTCCTTTGCCTCTTTTTATTTTGATAGTAATAACCGTCAAAATAACAAGGTTTTTAAATATTAGTTTTAAATAATTATTTAAATATCTCATAAACGACATTTGTACAGGATTTCGCATAGTTTATTTAAAGTTAATGTATTTGTGACTTATGAATTAAATGGCGTTTTGCAAATATAGCAGCAAAGGCATGCAGTCCACGAGAATGGATGAAATGGAATTGAGAGCTATGCAGAAACTGCAAATGAAAGAAAAAAAGTACATGGAAAAGAAGTCGCAAGAAATGGAATACTTATGGCATCAAGTCTTATTGGAAAACATTCAGAAAAAGGCGAGTAAACACTATTAAATTTGATAAAATGTATTTAATATGTTATATAAATTTTTTTATGTAATATCTTCTCCTTGTGTATATATAATTGTTCTGTACGTGTGTATGTCACTGAACTCCTCCTAAACGGCTGGACACATTTTAGTAAAAGTTTTGTGTGTCTTCAGGTTGATTCGAGAATGATTTAGATTCGTTCGTTTTTTATTTATAAGTTGTTGACGGACTTAAGTCGCGTGTGCAGGTCAACGTCTGTTGAGTCCGCTAGTATTATCTACTATATTTTTTTTAATACTAAGTACATCAAAGTGTTTTTGTCAGAATTATGCATAACTTTATTTCAGATATGTATTTTTATTAACCTTATAAGATTTTAAAAGAGAAATTAATGTTTTGTTTAATTTTAGGAAGAAGCGGAAAGAAGAGAGTTGCTGAGATTAAAAGAAGAAATGCGCGAACGGAGGAAGTCGTACGATGAACAGATATCTAGTGCTAAAAGAGAGAGGCAGGAAACCCTAAAAAGGGAGAGGGAACAAGAAAACAAAAGGTTGGAAAAAATGAGACAAAAAATGGAACAGGACTACTACAATGGTACGTTTTTGGTAACTTTTATAAAGGTTTTTTAAGCGAAGTATGCACACTAGATGACGCGTAGCAGTGCTAAAAAAGCAATGAAAAAGTAGATAGATGTCGAGATTCTCGTGACGTGAATACAAGCATACCTCAGTGGTTAGACGGCTGGGTGTATTACCCGGAAGTTGCAGGTTTGAATCCAGGAGCACCTGAATTTTTTGATAATTTATCCACCAAATAATTAAGAGTTAGATAATATTACGAATGTAAACAAAAGAATTGCAATTGACTGACGGTGTATTGTATAAAGATATGAAATATTCCTTATGTTTATAATATTCTTTACGGTTTCGTTACCTGATCACGAGCTTATATACCCGCATATTAATCGTAATCATTATTCATCAGACTTAGAAAGCTATGTACGGATACCCGTCCTATTACTAGACTACAACACTCAAGTGGACTTTAATACACTGTAAACTTGTTTCTTTGTCAAATAATGGTACAAAAAATAAGTAGCTGAGTTTCTTTCGCTGGATCTTCTCGTGTCAGTGAATTTTCTTTACCGACTACTACCGGAGTAGTATTTTGATAATCAAGGAGTGAGTGTATTGTTTCTTTAATGAATAAAGATATTTTAATTTTAATTTGAATCAGACAGTATTCAAGATTAACAATATTGACACTAAGCAGTGCCTGGTGCCATTATGCCACTAAAAAAAATACAAAGTAACAGCCTTTATATGTCCCACTATTGGAGAAATGCCTTCTCTGTTCAGAGGTTAATTAATTGTATATCTTAAAATAATCTTCCCTTTCTGCAGCATTTAAGCGTAAACGAGAACAGCAGGCCGCCAACAGATCCAACTACATAGAGGGCCACGAAATGAAACTCAGCAGAATCGAGCTCGAAAGAAACAGAGAAAGGGCAGTGGATGTCAATTGTATAAGCGCAGCGGTAGAGGAATTAAGACGGGAGAATCAGCAGAAGAAAGACAAAATGGTCTGTGAACATAATATGGGTCGACGACCCCGACCATTAGCAGAAAATAAGGATCGGTTCTTACTCAATTATTTGGTTCATTAACTACATAAGTAACCAATAGTTATCTAAATAGAAGGTTATTGGTATATCTAGTCTAAGGTGTTATTCCCGGTTTAGTTTGTGTTATCGCGTTAAAACAACACTTTAATTGCAACTATTTTACGTTAAACGTGTTCAACTGATCGTCGACTTACAGTTGCCGATGATAAATCATTTATAGACCTTTTATTTCTACACACTGGATGACGGTAAAAGGTGAAATATATTTGATATCTTAAAATTATTACAATGAAAAAAATTATAATTAAAAAAACTACAACGGTGGTAGGGCCACGCAGCAGCCTCGGCTGTTGCACGAATGTGCAGGCCGTCCGGGTAAGTACCACGACCTCACTGAAGACCAGCGTAAAGTGGAAGTATGATAAATACTTTCGCGTTTCGTCTGGTGAGTGAGGTAGCCGGAGCCCAATTTTCAAAAGGTTGTCAACGCATCTGTAACCCCCGGATGTAGCAGGTGTCCATGGGCGGCGGTATTCACTTAACATCAGGTGAACCGTCTGCTCGTTTGACAACATTTCGCATAAAATAAAAAAATAACTAACAAACACTAAGATAGCTCTTTCATAATTAAATCAAAAGACAGTTTAAATAAAATTATAAATTAACACATCGTTCCTGCAGCGAGCTTTGAAACAACAAGAAGCGATTTTTATGAACTATCATCAAAGAGAGAAAAATATGGCAAGAGTATTAGAAGATGAAGCCCATAAAATGGTACAAGAATGGAGCACAAGATTAGATAAACAGTACGAAGAACGTCTCAGACAAGAAGATGCAACTAACAAAATTAAAAAAGAGGTAAATATACAGTAACTAAGTACCTAGGTTAAATGACTCACCGATTCGTTTAAATTTATTCACTACTTATAACATTAAAATAAGAATTGTTGTCTTAGGCACTTTATCCTCCCTATTATAATAGCCATGATAGGTCATTGTATATACATTTAATGATTTTGTACATGAAATTGTTAATTTAAGTCCTGACTTATCATGTGCTCAGCGGTGAAGGAAAAATTCCCGAGTAAACCTGCATATTTTTGAAATAATAATAAAAAATCATTTCGAAGATATTTAAAATCCGTCAATCCGCGGTGGAGTCGCGCAAAAGAGCGAGAGGCGAAAGGCGCGACTACTAAAAAAACCCCACAAGTTTGCCGCCCCCTAAATTTTGCCTCCTTAGGCCCGGGCCTAGGCAAAAGAAAATCCCACTAACTTGCCGTCCCCTAAGTTTTACATCCCTGACCCGGGCTTAGTCGGCCTGTAAGGAAATGCGTTTTGCCAAGCACCAATGATTTTGTCTAATCAGTGCCAAAATCGGTGCCTGCTATTCTGCAAAGACACTGACCACAACAGATATGCTTGTTGCCAACTGATTAGAACGTGAGCCCCATTTACCGATTTAATCAATTCCTGCAAAATAAGCCATTATATATAATATTATTCCTGCACAACACTGTCTGATGTAGCAAATTCGAGTCCTAGTCCTAGTCCACGAATCACATGTAGTGCCGACACCAATCAGCGATGTAAAGCATTACTCTTATTATTAAGTGTACGATATTTATTTATACTAGGTAATAATATCAACTAGAACGGAATGTTGGAAAATCGAACAGAATTTACTTAGAGTAAACTATAAGTTTTTAAGTATGTACATTATAATTAATTGGGAAAGTAAATCCGGTGACTGAGTTAATTAAACTATGAAGTATTAAGTTAATTTACATAAGATTTAATAGTCGTCGATTTATAAGTCTCTTTAATATACACTTATAACGTTTATACATCATAGTTGTCGTTATTCTAAAACATAATCAATCGATGAACGTTATTTCACCCTTGGTGCGACTGAATAATGTTACAGAAAGCTCTAACGGAATACAGACAACATATTGAAAATGTTAATCAACAATCCATGAAAGAGCGAATGGAAAGAAGACAGCATATTGAGAGAGTGAACAGGACAGCGTATTCAGAGTTGGAAAGAAGACTGAATAGCGCTGAAGAAGAGCTACGGAGGCAAAATGAATATAGAAATAACCTCACGGAACAGATAAAACTAAACCAAACCGTCTTGGTAAGCGGGAACATCAAACTCTTCATTTTTATTATTTTTTTAGTAAACAGGTAAATGGACAAGTAATTTTTATACATAAAGGGCGATATTGACGTTGTACTTTCCCAGTAGGACTGGATTCATGCTAAATTCTGCATAGCCCCGCTCTATTTTGATTCTTTCTTTTATATATATATTTACTGTGGTGTCTATAATGATCGGTAGGTAAATAATTATTATTTATAAGAAAAAAATATATTATATAACTTTCACACTCAATAATTTTTTTCGCACATGTGGGATCGATATGCACCTTTCACATTTCATTATAATAGTGTAACCTTTAATTAAATATAATATTTAATTATAACAGGTATCCGTTACGGTCTAAAAAGTTCGTTAAATTGTATATTATTATACAATTTACCGTTATTAATGTTATTTTCATATAACAACAGCATATGTCATCTATGCCGAAAAAGGTCTTGCGATAATATAATTATAGGCTTCAAAAAGGTGGATAATGATTTAGGTAACAATTTATTTGTGAAGACGATTCTTCTAGTTATATACGTATAAAAATTAAGTCATATAATTATTTTCTACAAATTATTTGGTACTTGTATTGGTATTGGTACTTTAAATAACTTTAATATAATGTGATTTCCCCCAAACTTCTAGATCAACATATGATTGCTGCAAAGATATTTTGTATCCCCAAAAAAATATTGCAAACGACATTACCCTAAAATGAAATTGAACAAGTTCTCTTCCAGGAAACGGAATTAAAAAACGTCGAACGTAAACAGCGGGCGTTCACGAAGGAAGCCATTATGTTCAAAGAGGCCATGAGAGACAAAATCAACATTCGCAAGAATGAACAGAGGTGATAAAAACAACACTTGCTACATTTTTAAAAAGAACAAGAATAAAAAGACATTAGAGGGTGCCTGTTGTTAGGCGATATGAAATTTATTGTTCAACAGTAAATATTATTAACACATGCCCTAAACTTGTTTTCGAAACTAAAACAGAATAATGCGATGCCATACAGATTTTAATCTTTCCCAACAGTTTTTCGCACTCTCTAATCAACTGGTAAGGAATATTTATGGACCACGTGTGAATTTTCTGTTCTGTTCCAATACATCATAAATTCACGTTATCGAAGTTAAACTCTTGACTTAAACTGTGATTTAGTACTGATTCTATCGCTAGGTACTGAAAATCATTAAGCTAAAAAACTTATATTTAAAATGAATGGTCTTTCATAAAGACACAGCTCCTATGCCATACGGCGCATAAATTGACATTTATTTTATTTCAGCACAAATCCAGTTCACCCCTTTCAAAAGGTTATTAAAAAGCAGCAAAAATACGAATATCCATTGCTACCGAATTTGTAAAACTTTTAATTGAAATATACCATTCCAACGATTGTGTTGTTATTTTTATATAGGTATTTGAATATTAGTATATTTTATTTAACGAATTTTGATTTGCAATAAATCTTGAGTTGTTATTTTGCGATATGAATAAATGATTATCACGTAAATAATATTTGTTGAATTTATAGAACGATAAATTGTATTTAGCTGACATTATCAATAGGCTGTTGAAATCAATGATGTTTAATAATATTTTCGTAAGCCTTCTGTTCTCGTAAATAATTAATTGACGTTAATATTTTTTTTAATTGGCATGACAGGCATTGAATAGACGAAGGCTGATTTAAAATATAATTTGCATTGTGCGCTTCTTTTGGTATTAGAATGGAATTGATGTGACTGTGTAAACTGTAAACATTAATTATTGCGTCACTCGTCAGACACTCCACTAGGGATGGCCAAATAGAGAAAATATATCAACTAACATTGTATCGATATTTCTTAAAAACATCGATACAAGCAGAGTTCGATAAGTTCGATATTCGATATATCGGTATTTTAAAACGACGCGATTACGTATAAAAAACGGGCAGCTATACCAAAATTTACCATAACTTTCAACTTTTTTATTTTTAGGAATTTTTCCTTTATACAGGACAAATATAAGGACCTTGCTTTTTGCCAAATTTCGTAATTCTAGGTCAAAGGGAACTTCATTCACCATTTAGGTTTTAAGCCCAAACAACAAACAAAACAAAGTACTTTCGGTTGACCTAGAATTGTCAATTTTGGTTAAAAGAAAGGTAATAAATCTCCTAAGGATTAACGACTTTGATACTCGAAAATAAATGTCGATATTATGATATTTAAAATATCGACGACATATTTATCGATTATTTTGATATATCGATATTTATTTAACTGAAAAATGATTAATCCTCTTCTCTTCCAAAACAAACAGAGACTTGAAACTTGAACAATATTAGAGGTTAGAGGAATTTAAAATTTCACCGATTTGCAAACATGAACGCAAATGCGAACAAATTTATATATCAGGCATTTGGTAAAAATATTACGGTGTTTATATTACACAAGTGGGTAAAATTATTATTTCTTTGAATATGGATCCAATGCACACGTGCTTTTTATAAACAGTTAATAAAAAAAATATTTGAAACTATTCTCTAAACATGGAAGACGAAGAAACATACTCGAAAAAAACTTTGCATCATTGCTCCTACAGACATCTACAGCAATTGGCAAAATCGATGGGTCTTCCGTGCAACATTAAAGTAAGTAAAAAATATATTTTTTATTCATATTTATCACATACAGATTCATAGTTATCCAACGATAAATTTATTTATTAAAAATTAATCATAAAATTTGAAAATTATTATGTAAAAAATTTTAAACTAAAAATCTTTTTGACCTCATAATGATCCTAATTAACCATCTCGTTTTTGTAGAAAGTTTATTTAATCGAGCTCATAAGGGCTAAAAAGTTTAGTTCAGAGAGTGAGGTCAAGAGTATTGTCCAACGAGTAAAAATGGAACGACAACATCTAGCACAGGTTAGAAAGAGCTACAAAAAAGCAAATATAAAGGTAAGATAACAGTGTTATATTGAAACATATGTTTAGTCATAATTTGGAGTATTGATAATTTTAGTAAACCATAACACTTCTTTTTTATTGTTAATAATATCTTTATAGTATCTAATAGCTATGTATTAGCATTTAAATGAGTTCTAATAAATTATCATTATTTTTTTCAGAATGAGGATAATATATACTATAAAAAGCCTCAGTCTCCTCCAATAACATCGACTCCGAAACGCACTGGTGTAACTATGCATTGTAGCCCAGATTTACATCAAGCAATCATAAGATATAAACAAAAGCAAAGCCTAGCCCGTGTAGCTCAGAGAACATATCCCTCTCCTAAATTGCAGAATGGAAGTGACAGAGTACTGAGAAGTTTCAATGTGAAAACAAATAATAGAAATGCAGGCATTTTTAATGTACAGAAGACCGTACTTGGTGTCATCAAAGCACAAAGCAGAGGAAGTCCAGAGGAGACACAAATTGAAATTGTAAGCCATGAAGGTAACATGCCAAAATTTAATTTGACTGCAAAATGTTTGGTGAAGAAACACAAGCCTGGTATACTAGGCTCAAGTACTGCTAACTCTGACAGGATTTATGAAAACAGGCAGATGTTGCAAGCTAATGATAATAAGGTAATTGAGAAAATTGAGAAAAAATATGTATATAGGCACCGTCACCATAGTATTGTTTTATTTTTATTTTATATTTATTAGGGATAACAAACAGCTAAAATATATTATATAAACAGAAAATTTGCCACATTGAGGTAGTAATAATATTGCAGTCCAATACATTATCCACATATTAAACATAATATGTTATTAATTTAATTGAAGTTTCTATATATGTAAAAATGAGTAAATACAAATTATAAAGAATAAAGATAAAAAAAAGCATTTCAAAAATACATAATTATTTAAAAGTTGAGTTTAAGGTAGGGATAGATTTAGGGAATCTAAATATTAATTATAATTATATTATCATGGCGGGATATTCATTTGTTTTCTCTTTTATATTTCTGTTATTATAATTATATAATAAATAATAATAAAAATATCTTTATTCACATAGACGCTTGCGCGTTCATTTCTTGTCAAAATTTTACAAGAAATGAACACGTTCGTAAGTTACCACCGGTTCGGAAAGCAGTTTCTGTTGAGAAGAAACCGGCAAGAAACTCAACAGTTGCTCTTTTTAAAAAAAAATCAGTTTACAATATAATAGTACATGTACAATAGTCTTGTTTTAGCCTACGTGAGTATCAACAGTATTAACCCCACACATTGGCGTCGTCAAGATATTCAGCAATAGAATAATAGGCTTTAGCCATAAGTTTACTTTTAATTTTTCGTTTAAATTCATCAAGTGGCAGACTTAATATCGACTGTGGGATTTTATTATACATGCGCACACCTTGCCCCATGAACGACCTGTTTACTTTTTGTAAACGAAACAATGGCGTAGTTAGTTTGTCCTTATTTCTAGTATTTAGTTTATGTCTGTCACTATTCTTTAGATAACTATTAATATTATTTTTAACATACAAAATGTTACAATAAATATATTGAGACGCAACAGTGAGTATATTAATCTCTTTAAAAAGGTCTCTGAGTGTATTCCGGGCTCCGATGTTATAGATTGCTCGGACAGCTCTTTTTTGAAGAATAAATATAGAATTTATATCAGATGCACTACCCCACAACAAAATGCCGTAAGACAAGATGCTGTGGAAATAACTGAAATAAACAAGTCTGGCAGTGTCGATGTCTGATAGCTGCCTAACCTTCCTAACTGCAAAAACAGCGGAGCTTAACCTGTTCGCAAGAGATGATAGATGGGACTCCATTGGAGCTTTGAATCCACTGTAATTCCCAAGAATACAGCGGACTCAACAGGATTAAGGGTTACGCTATTTAATGTTAAGCTAAAACTTCGCCTTCTTACGCTGGGAAGGGTAAAAAGAAGGCATTTAGTTTTTTTAGCATTTAACACCATATTATTAACGGTAAACCAGTGGAGGATACGCGAAAGTGCACTATTCACGTCGTCATAATCCGACACGTTTCGGTCAACCTTAAAAATGAGCGATGTGTCGTCAGCAAACAGTACAATATCACATAACTCACTGGCATAAAAGGGGAGATCATTTATATACACTAAGAATAATAATGGACCTAAGATTGATCCTTGTGGGACACCCATTTTCATGGGGGACCCTGTGGAATTTACATCATTTATAGATACTTTTTGAATTCTATTATTAAGGTAAGAGGCAATGAGATTGAGGGCGATGTCACGAATGCCATAATAATCTAACTTTTGAAGGAGGGTTTCGTGGTCTACACAGTCGAAAGCCTTTGAAAGGTCGCAAAAGACACCTATTGCATCTTGTGACCTTTCCCAGGCGTTATAAATATGCTTGATAAGTGCGACACCCGCATCCGTTGTCGATCTGCCTTTAGTGAATCCATATTGCTCATTGTGGAAAATTTTGTTCATATTAAAATGTACTAAGAGTTGATTTAAAATTAGTTTTTCAAAAATTTTACTCAGAGATGGCAATATGGAGATAGGTCTGTAATTTCCTGGATCATTTTTATCCCCACTTTTTATAGATAATATCTATCCTTCTGACTAATGTAAAAATGATAAGGCACAATGGTCATTGGTTCCAGATATCCCCACCAGCAAAACGAGAAAGAACAGTAAGTGGAATTTATCCATTAAGTTCAAAAGAAACACCAAATAAATATGGCTACTTACAGAGTGTGGGTTTGAGAGGCCGGGATGGTAAGATAGCGAAAATTCACGCCCTAGTACAAAAACGCTCTACTTGTAGTGAAACATATGGACTACTTAACTTCCGTAAGCCAGAAATTAATTTTCAAGACATTATGAACTGCAAAATAGATACACAGAACATAGCCAATTCAAACTTGATGGAGTTTGTCTTGGCAGATCAAAATATGAACAATAATTATTTGCAATTGCAATACCCAATCATGTCGGCTCTAGATAAAGAGATTCAGAACAATCTGGACGTATCCAATCATCAATTGAATGTCAGAGCTAATGAGAACATTGAGGATCTACATTCTGTATATTATCATAAGAAGATAAGAGCTGAACAAATCCGGTGTAACAGGTTCTTTAATCCTAGAGAACAATTTGTGGAAGATGACAGATTGCCCAAAATTAATGAGGTCTTTACGCAGTTCAGGGATGTGACACAACCTTTGTATGTGCAAGTTAGTGAGGATTCCGAATCAGGTAACTTCTAAATGGATTTCTGTGTCATTATTTTACAATTTCTTCAAGTTGTTTCATATACATTCTTAAATTTAACTTAACTTTACACTTGTGACTTTTAAAAGAAGACAGTACAGCAACACTTGTTTACAGTTATCTATAGTTATATAATTATATGCAAATAGTCTTTGACTATCCTTCATGGAGTCAAAGTCTGAAGACTTCTGGAAGGTATTTTTGGGCAATCTTTAATTCTTCTTTGATTATCTCCCTTAGTATGTCACATAAAACAAGTTTTAAAGTGGATAAAGTTGTACTATAATAATATATACATATGAAGTGTAGTAAGCAGTAATGTTACTTATATGAAGTTTTTATATTTTAATTGTTAATTCTTTCAGTTGATATTCACCCAGTATATGCTCCTAGGAATAATACCAACACCGGCATGTTGGAGAACATATACAATTTCCGGAGTCAATACCTCATCAACCAACCGCTTTTGCAAGTAGCGACCACGTCAAATACAAAATGCGTTTTCAGCACATCGGTCGTGGCTACGCCGTGAGTTTTTCTTTTGTTTCTTCTATCATTATTTTTTATTAGTATTTTCTATTAACCGCTGGCTTCTGCTTAATAATTAACTTTTACCTTGTACATATTGCATACATTTATTAATTCACTAAAAAGAGACAAGACAATTATAAATCCAAATTAAAATTGTAACTGTAATAAAATTTAACTGCACACCAAAAATAGTGGGTGAACATGCTTTGGCATTAAGCTTATGTTTTAAATCACTTTCTTGCTACTAACAAACACTTTTAATATTCCCTCCCTGACTCAATACTTAATATTTTTCATGACAACATAAAAATACAATATTGTTTTAAATGTCAATAATTTAAGTGTTTATAAATGCAGTTCCAGTGAGGCATAACTTGTATGACTTATTCTAATACACTCGTGGTACACACTGGACGAAATTCAACCATAATTAATTATACATGGTAGTGTGTAATGTTTTTTTATTGATTTAGTGTATTTTTTATGGCACTACGTTTTTTGCTTCACATATTAATATATAGATTAAAACACTTCATTTATTTGAATAAAATTCAAATATTCAAGAGTGTGTTTTAATAATTTCTATGGTTGTGCGATATATTATAAACAATCATAAAAATTAAAATTATAGTAAGAGAAAGCTTTTACCATCTTTTAGTGAGTATCACATTGCGGTTCCTTGTATTGTGTCTACTTAAATGCATCTGTAAATGTTAAGCTTTTTCCTTTATGCACTGCTTGTACCTTTGCTGCACAATTTCTCGGTTTGTCCGCTATGCATGGCTTTCCAGAAAGGCGCAACCCTCCTCCACAATGGTCTTCGGTGAGCCCTTCATGACTCGTAAGTTGACGCTTTCCTCATTACTGACTAGTCAACAATGGCTATGTCCAACCATTCATTCATTCAGTCACAACTGGTTGTGAATGAATGAATGGACATCTTTGTTGCCAGAATATGGTAGTACATTGTGATGCTAATAATCATATTTTGGTGCAACATATTCAGCTGACTTCAGCATGCAAATGTTAATTAAATATTAAATGAAGTAATTTATGTTGTGTGTTGATGACGACATTCATTGGTGGAGCCAAACAGTTGTTTCTGCTATTGCATGAATGGGCAGCCTCGTCCAGGGAAGTATCACCATCTTATAGGAGATTGGTGTGAAGAGAGGGAAGTGCTTTCACATTTTGTCTGGCAAATGAGACAGCCCATCCACACAATGGAATCACTCTTTTAAAGATTAGCAACATAGATTATAATAAGGCCCCTTCGCTTGCCAGTTCCTGGTTTAAAAAACAATAGCGACTTTTCTATTATCTGTTCGATAGGGAATTAGATGCATCACAATCTAATTGGTAGAAGTAAAAGTTTGAATTTCCACTTCCAGCGGCTGAGACAGGTTTAGGAGTCTCCAGGCTCGGTGAATTCTACACGCAAGGTACGTCCTTTCACACATTCTAAGTACTATTTTGATGTATTGACTTTAAACAGAATACAAAATAGTTCATCCAGTTGTATTCAATTACTCCTTAAAAATGAGATGACCTGATGACCTGATTAAGGTCAACTTCGGTGGAATCTTGAAAAAAAAATGGATAATTTTATCTGTGTCGCACAAATCGATATTTTATCGACCGCATTAATTTAAAAATAAGTATTTTTTTATAATGTATAACAGGTCTAAGTATATCACCCGAACCTGATTACTGAATAAAGAACCTATCATGGAATAAAGTGATATGTAAATTTCCAGACACAAATAGCCCCGAGCCCGGCTGTGCCTCCATACCAGAAATGGTTGAAGACGCCCTTGAGATCATCAGCCAAGATGGCGTAAGTACCACTCTGAGTCATTGGGTTTGATACCTGGCTGTTACATGTATGAAATTAAACTACAGAATTATCACTTAACGCAGTGCCGGATTTAGCAAGCGCAGGGCAAGTTGCAAATTCTTCCAAACAGTCCTTGGTCTGCTATGAGTTCTTAAGTATAGTGTGGTAAAAAAAAAAAACTAATTCAATACTGTTACTTATGTAATAAGTTTCACTCAAATAATGAAGGCTCAGGCAGAGATGAGTGGATTTAAATATGCTGGCCCCTTTTGGCGCGGGGATCGTAGCAATTGCTACTCTGCTATGGGGTTAACCCGACACTGCTTTAACGAGGAGCATAGACTAGCAAGAAGTTCGTACAACCGTTTCCTTTACCTCTCTATACAACTTAACATGTATCTTCTTGATTTTTGATACATAGCTTATTCTTGGTCTTCCCCTACTGCATATATTAACAATAACAAAAAAAATATTCCTTTAAATATCACACAAAAAGTGTTCTCAAACATATTATACGGTTCCATTTTATGTTATAGAATTCTATTGGACCCGTTTGATTACTTTAGGGGAGGATAAAATAGCCGAATAAAATAGAGTAAAAGAGCCGTGATAGCTCATTGTCCGGGTGCTTGCTTTTAATTTCATATACTCGAGCAAACTGAGTTCAATCCTCGGTGCCGGCACCAATGAAATTGTTCATTTTAAGTGCTGTATTATCAGATGCTTAGCAGTGAAGGAAAACATCGTGAGGAAACCTGAATGTTTTCTAAATAATAACAAAAAAATATTTCTAAAGTATGTGAAGTCCGCCAATCCGCAGTGGGGCCGCGTGGTGGACTATGCCCTGATACCCTCTGCACAGAGGCCTTTGCCCATCAGTGGGACGTATATAGGCTGATACTTTACTTTACTACTTTGTTATAGAATATACTCAGACATACAAACATTGATTAACATGAGTGTTTAACAATTTAACTTAACCATTTACTTTATTTTCCTATGGTAGAAGAAATAAAAATGTCCTTTGTGTGTTTATGTCCCTTAATTTTTTATTATTCCATAACAGGACTACATGGAGAGAATTGGAATGGATGTAAGGGTACCATGCATGCTCTGCTCTTGGGCTGGTCCCATGGTCATGCTGGAGTATCACATCAAGAAGGTAATTGTTAACTTCCATTGTGTTTAAGCCAAGTGATATGCGATAGTCTCGGAGTCAATGCTAGACAATTAGGCAGATTTATATTTTATTAATGTAAATTTTTGATACTATAGGGTTAGAGATATTTATATGTGTTCCCTATTGTGACGAGGAGATGAGATAAATACTACGCTACTATTATATACATTGTTTATTATTAAATCTACAAGATATTCACATGACAGTGTGCGTTCGCTAGCTACTTGCGATGAACTGTACTAACTTGGTCGGCGAGTTCGGAAGGATTCGAACGTTGACACGTTTAGTTATATTTTTCTTGGAAGTTTGATTTAGTTATTTCAGTTGTGTATCCATATTGTTGTTGGTTCTTGTGGTTGTGGGTTTATTTAATTTGGTAAGTGTCTTATATGTAATCGCTTAACAAGAAGGATGTGTGATGCAGGAGATGATGATCCTCCCCCAGGTGGAGGAGGAAACACATCCTCTGATATAGACATGGCGCCTATAACTGAGTTTATCACACCTAGTCGTCCTCATAAAAGACCAGCGGACTTAGAAATCACTAGTATATCCAAAAAAAACGTTACTCCCGCTGCTTCAATTCAGGATACTTACACTAGACCTGGTTTTGAGCCTGACAAAAAAATTAGGTATACTGAATTTAATCAAGGTCCCTTCACTGTCCACGTGTCTCGTATGGAAGCTCATCCTTCTGAAGGGCTCTCTATTAAACTACTTAATTTTGCACAGCTACTACATAAAAACAAGATTTCTGGTATTGTGTGTGATGGCATCAAAGTATTAGGCCGAAATAAAATTTCTGTTCAATTTGAAAATTACGTAGAAGCCAATTCCTTTATTGAGAATTCTATATTACAAAAAAATAATTTCAATGCAGAGGTCCCAAAGTTCCTGGTTTCTCGAATGGGTGTTGTCCGCCAAATACCCTTGGAGTGGTCCCTTGAAGAACTGGTTTCTGGGATACAATGCCCTCCAAATTGTGGTCCTGTCATAAGAGCTAGAAGGTTAAATGTGAAAAATCGGCAAAACAATAATGTTAGACCAACTTGGGAACCATCCAGCACAGTTGTGTTGACCTTCCTAGGTCAAACTCTCCCACATAAAGTTTATTGTTTCCATACTTCTCTCCCAGTCTCCATATACCAACTCCCTACCATACAATGCCATAACTGCTGCAGATTTGGCCATGTCCGTGCCCAATGTCGATCTAAGCCTAGATGTTTTAAGTGTGCTCAACAACACCCTGGGGACTCGTGTACAGTACCTGAACCGGTTTGTCTCTTGTGCAGAGGTCATCATAAAACCACTGAGCCTATCTGTCCAGAACATTTGCGCCAGAAAGATATCAAACATGTAATGTCCCAAGAGAATGTTAGTTATTCTGAAGCATCACGCCGCTTTCCCATTTCCAAATTATCTTTTGCTGATGTAATCCGCTCCTCTCCAAAAAATTCACCCGTCCCTTCTTGGGTCCCATGTAATGTCCCTTCTTCTTCCAATGCCTGCCCTCTCCCTTCACAACAATCCCTGGTTTATGAACATTCTTCATACTCTCATAGGTCGCCATCTGTTGTCTACAATAAATCTCTTTCTCAGCAACCCTGTCCTAGATCCCCCCAGAGTCAATCTTATGATAAACATGCTCATCAAGAAATTGTTAGAACTCCCAAATCCTCCCAACCTAATGGCAGTGCGCTTGGAACACTTAGTCCTCCCTTATGCTACTCCTTAATGCTGATGAGCTACTCACATGCTCTTTGATTAACATGGTGTCAAAATTTAGTGATTCACTACCGAACAATGTCTTGCCCTTATTAGAACAGCTCTTAGATACCATAATTAAAAAAAAAACCGTAACATTCAACATCCTTCAATGTAACTGTAGGAATGTTCGTCATAAAAAGGCTGATTTAATATTTTTAGCTAACAAATATAACCCTGTAATTTGCGCTATTGAAGAGACTTGGTTGAGGCCTCGTTCCATTTCTAGGCTCCCAGGCTACTCTTGTCTGCGTGATGATAGGGATGATGGTTGGGCTGGGTGTGCTCTTTTTATTAAGAGACCCATTCCCTTTACCAAGCTCCATATTCCCTCTCATCCCCCAGAATTCCATATTGTTGCCTCTAGAATTAATGACATATCATTTGTTTCTGTTTACATTCCCCACCCCAATCCTAACATCATTTCAAACTTAAGCTCTATCCTTTCCTCTTTTCCTACTCCTCTCTTAGTGATGGGAGATTTTAATTGTAAGCATACTCTGTGGGGCTCCCTCGCTTGTGACATTTCATCTCACTTTATCATAGATATGCTGGACAATTTAAATCTTTGTTTATTAAATGATGGGTCACCTACAAGGAGAGTGTCTCCATTACAGAATCCCTCGGCTATTGATTTGTCTCTTTCCTCAACTATTCTGGCAACCTCAATTAATTGGATGGTTCTGCCTAACTCCTATGGTAGTGTTCACTTCCCCATAGTATTAAATTTATGTAAAGCTATTCCTCCAACAGTCAATCACATCCCTCTGTTGAAGTACAGACTTCATTTAGCAGACTGGAACAAGTTTTCACAGTTAATGGATCAAAAACTTGCATCTCTTCCCCCCAATACATCCTTATCCCACTCTAATTTACATGATATTTACAATTATTTTGTCACTTCTCTACTAAGTTCAGCTGACCTCGCCATCCCCAATAAAAACACTTCTCTTAAACGCCTTCGCTCTCCCCCCTGGTGGGACAGGGATTGTACTATCAGTGTTCAGTCTCGTAACGAAGCTGAAAGCAAATATGTTTCAAATCTAACAATGGATAATTATTACCTATTATTAAACGTATAAAATCTTTTCGCAGGTCTTGTGTCAATAATTTTTCATGTCTTGCTTATCATCACACAGAAAGTTGGTTACCAAATTTTATTAGTAAATTATCTCCTCCTTATGTTCCGTTCCGTGACTCCCTTCCTACGGATTATTCTCATTCTTTTATATATCCAGATAAAATGAATGATGAATTTTCCTATCCTGAACTGCTTTGTTCCCTGGACCATCTTCGTGACTCTTCACCAGGCATAGATGGAATTCCCTATTCTTTTATTATCAAGTCAAGCAAATCTACTCACCTTTTCTTTCTTAAAATCATTAATACTATTTTCTTATCCTGCAGTATACCTGACTCCTGGAAAACCCAAATTATCATACCTATTCTTAAACCAGGCAAAGATCCAGAAGAAGCCTCATCATATCGTCCTATAGCTCTGTCTTCTACCTTATGTAAAATTATGGAACACTTAATTAAAAACCGATTAGAGTGGGTTCTAGAGAATAGGGGTATATTATCCAATTATCAATTTGGCTTCAGGAGAGGTATGAGTACACTGGATAGTTTAAGTATCTTTGTCTCCAGTATCCGTCAGGCTTTCAGTAATAGCCAGCATGTTATCGGCGCTTTCTTGGATGTTGCTTCTGCCTATGATAATGTCCAGATTCCAATACTCAGGCATAAAATGCTTCAACTGAGTATCCCTGAGAGACTGGTCAATTTTATATCTAATCTATATAGTGGTCGTACCATTTCTGTCCATGCTAATGGATCAATTCAAACATCTAGATTGGTGTGGAAGGGGTTACCCCAGGGCTCTGTACTCAGTCCTCTATTGTATAATGTGTACATTTATGATCTAGACCACTCCGTTACACCCTATTGTAAAATTTTACAATATGCTGATGACATTGTTCTGTACGCCGTATCATCTTCATTAAATGATGCTGCTGGTAAAATTAACTCTGCATTAGCTTATTTGAATGATTGGCTTGACAATCAAGGTTTATCTTTATCAGTTTCTAAATACAATGCGGTGGTATTCACGAGAAAGCGCCATGTTCCAAGCATTAATTTGTTTATTGATAGACATCCTGTAGCTGTACTATACCAAGTAAAATTTTTAGGCGTTATATTAGATTCTTAATTGTCTGGCGTACATCATCTCAACTATGTTAGTAATAAGTGTGAAAAAGGTGTAAATATTTTGAGATCTTTATCAGGTGTCCATTGGGGATCTCATCCTTATAATCAAAAATTATTATATAATGCCATTGTCAGATCACATTTCGATTATGGTTCTTTTTTGTTAGAACCTTGCAATAAGAATGCACTAAACAAACTTCAGAAAATTCAATATAAATGTCTGCGCATCATCACTGGTGCCATGAAATCCTCCCCGAATTTGGCGTTACAAGTAGAATGTCTAGAACCTCCCCTTCATCTACGTAGACAATATCTTGCTGATATTTATATGGGATAGTTCAATACAGCCATCATCCCCTTTTAAAAATCTTACATTCCTTGTCCCAGATAGCAACTACTTCTGTTTACTGGAAACATAAGGACTTGCCTCTGCTTATTAAGTCATACCGAAAAATAAAGAACCTTTCTAATCCAGTTTTCAAAATTGTAAAATACCCAATTTTTATGGTAGATTATGAGGCGCTAGTTTATAGGCCTAGGGTTATTCTATCGATGGGTATAGATAAGAACTCACCCAATGTCCATATCCAATTTAATAGAATTCTTGAAACTGAGTTTAATGGCTGGATGACATTTTACACTGATGCCTCAAAGTTGATTGATGGTGAAGATGTGGGTGCTGCTGTCTGGTTACCTAGGTACAAAATTATATTGAACTTTAAATGCCCTCCTCAATGTTCTGTTTTTAGTGGAGAGGCAATAGCTATTTTAGAAGCTGTATCTTATATTGAATCTCATCAACTAAATAGATCTATAATTTTCTCTGATTCATATAGTTGCTTACAAGATATCTTGAAGCTCCCATTTCACTCTAAAGATAACTTTTTCTTAACACTAAAAATTAAGCAAGCATTATATAAATGCTACTGTGCTGGTCTACAAGTAGTTTTAGCATGGATTCCAAGTCACTGCAGCATTCTTCATTCTTGGAAATGAAAAAGCAAATTGCTGTGCCAAAGAAGCAATTCAGCTCGGAACCCCTAAGTATAATAAATGTTTTGTACGTGATCTGCGTCTCTCCGCCAAACATAATATGATAAGGGTTTGGGGTGACATGTGGCGGGCGATTGGACGTGAAAGGTGTAAATATTACAGTCTAATTCAACCTTTTATACCTACCAAACCTTGGTTCTTTAGTTATAGATGCTATCACAAAAAGACTACATCTATTATCATCAGGCTCAGACTAGGCCATGTATGTTCACCTGTGTTTCTGGCTGAACTGCATATTCGAAATACGTCTTTGTGTGAATGCGGGTTAGATGAGGGTACTCTTGATCATTTATTCTTTAGTTGTCCTATGTTATCAGTCCCTTTATCTGACCTACTCCCACCCACTATTGCACGTCCTGTGAATGTTAGTTGTCTGTTAACTCTTGTCTATGCCCCATTCATTAAAACTCTAGTTAGATTTATAGAAATTAACAATATACGGCTTTAACCTGGTATATAAGATTTTTGTTTTTCGCCTTTTTTTGTTCCTGTTCCCTTTTTTTTCTTTTTTTTTTTTTTTTCCCTTTATTTATGTATGGCTGATGTCCCTTGACTAATGACCATCTTACTAATTACTAATGAGGTGTTTTGTTCCTCTCTTTACAGGTATGCAACTGAAAGTGGTTTAATACAGTTAGGTTATTATTGTCATGTCCTTAGCCTAATCGATCTCCAAGTACCAAGTTGTTGGCAAAATCACTGACGTATCAGTGGAGACATAGTAGAAAAAAAAAAAAAGGAACTGTACTGCGCTGCACAATGTAAGGCGCATGGGGCGTTCGACTAATATATCCAATTACATTGTGTCGCCACAATATAATTTTAAAAAGTTATCCTCTATATGTGTGTTCATTTATTGTCGCGTTGGTAACGACACGCTGTATACACATACAAATATTCCCAACAACCAGATTGTAAGATCAACTAAGTATGGTCGGTACAACCTCTTATAAACTAGAAATGTTTGCAGGAACATTCGGATCAAATCTACAAGGAAAACAAGAACGAGTGGAACATCACGTTCACCCTGGGCAGCTTGGTGCATTGCCAGTTGTGTCTCAGCCATGTAGTCGAGTACGACTCAACACTTTACATACTGAGCGCAAAGTACGAGGATCCGGACTGCTTTATGGCCTCCATTTCGGTGAGTGTTAATATCACATACAATCACGTATATCACGTCTTTAACAATAATCAAGTTGGCACTGTATATGATTGACTTCTTCTTTCTTCAGCTCTTCTCCCACTTAAGTGGGATCGGAGAAACATGTTATTCATATTGTAAATGGTATATACAACAATGCTAGGTTTTTTATAACCGACCGACTGTCTGACGTCAACACTCCTTGGGGGGTAATACCCAGATTGGTTACAATTGTGTTTTTTTTTAAAAACATTGCCCTTTAGGATAACATTATTCTGCGTTGTAAGGACGTTTTACAAACATAAATTTCACGCGGACAAACACCCAGATGCGAAACAACTATCTGTGGGTCGCACAAATAGTTGTCCCTTGTGGGAATGGAACCCACGACCCCTGACACCGAAGCCGATAACATGAACTGTTGCACCACTATTGTCTATGGCCAGTTAATCCCATAACAATCCCTTATCATAGTAATGCTATGATAATAAAGCTATGGATCAAGTTTACCAACTTGTTTATGTACCAACAAATAAATTCCGCTCGCAGCTTCTGCTCTGAATGGGCTAGCTTATTTCCATAGGTGCCATAGCCTTCATGAAGTCTGGCATAAAGTAGAAATTTTTCTACTTTGGTAACACAATTGAAACTTGACATTGCTCTTCTGTGAAAGAAACCTAATGTTATCAACATTTCATTGAAGTCTGGTGTCAAGCCAGCTGACGGTTAACCTATTGTTAAGTGATAAAAATAATTTTTAAGCAATTTTTAAGCTATATATGGTTATAGTTTACATGGTGCTGACTCGGCCTCCATATGTGTCTGAACCAATGTCATGCTGATTATATACTTACATAATTTTGTGTACTTGCATCATTAGAACGCACAGTATCTGCTGGTGAGGTCTAGTTTCTTGAACCAATGGCAGTGCTTCAGAAGTTCAAGAAGAGCTTAAAATGAACCCGTATTGAATAAAGAAATTTGAAAATTGAAACATCTCCTTTGCAGACATTGAACTCGGAGGGGAACGCGCAGCGGCTCGGCTCGATCACCGTTTACAACAAGGTGACGGGGGAGCCCCATTTGTGGCAGGGGCCCGTCAGACCGCTGGACCTCCAGCATCCGCAGCCAGCCCAGGTGGGGCAGTGCCTCAAGGTGGGGCTGTCCCGCCTGGACCTGCTGCCCAACAGCGCCAACCTGAAACTCCTCAACAGGGAGCTGGTGAATGACTCGCCCTGCAAAGTGGTTGTGGGACATCCCGAGCTGAACGATATACACATCATACTGTTCGTCAAGATATTTGAATGACTTGGATTGAAAACCAAAGTGATGATATTGGTGTTTAAATTACTCGTCATCGGGTTATGACATGTGTGTCCGTTATCCTATCAATGTTTTTTATTCTTTTACCATACAAATTTACTTTTGCTTTAGAACTCTGTTTTATCAGTCAACTGCATGATTTTTTTCATAAAATTTGTATGGCCTGTCAGACCAACTAGAACTGTTTTTAATTAATCATTATTGTTGTTTACTCTTTAAACTGCTTTCAGATTATTGCACTGGTTTATCTAAATAGTAACTTTGTTATACTCAACTGTATTTTTTTTCTTTTACATGCATTTATTAAGCTTATGAAGATGAATAATTATAAATTCGTTAAAAGAAGAGTTTGACATGCGCAACTCTTGGAGTTATTTATGTTTTATTGTTTCTGAATCAGTTAGGAGAATTATAAGTTTGTTAAGTTTATGAATTTTTTTTCTTATAGTTGATTTTTATGTATTTAATGTAGGTTAATTATCTGCAAGCAAAATGGTGAAAAAACAAGAAAAGGTGTGTCTTTAAGTTATTTTTAAATTCACTTCTTGTTAATACAGCAATGTTTTTGATCACAATTTACATTAATAAACAACTTAAACCTATTTACTTTTCATGTGTTAATGTTACTGAATCATTTATTTTGTATCTTCTGTGCTAGGAAGTTAAGTGTGCATCTTTATACAATAGTATATTATGTAATTTCGCTTTATCGCTTAATAATTGTTGCTTAAAAATAGATTTTCCATTTTATGCCTAGATTTGATATATCCAAGAAATATCAAACAATTATACAGTAATGGTATGACCATATAAATTATCTAAAAAAGTTCAACATATCCATGTTACCTCTAGTTGTACGAAAAAATGTCGATCGCTTATATTTAGTATATATATATATATATATACACACAAGCCAAGTATATATATATATACACAAGCCATTATTGTAATGTTATTATCTAAATAACATCATTTTGACTTATTTTATAAAATAACTTTTTATATATCCTTAAACCAGTGCCATATTTCATAAGATTTGTATACCTATTATTACCACACGATACAAATGTATCAGACTGATTGTTTTAGATCTCATTTTTTATTTTTATAGAGTTGATTAAAAGATTATAAACTAATTTTCTCTATTATTTCTGAATTCCAAACTTCGACTAGTGAATCCCGGAGATCTATCATACCTAGTAACACTTGTTACTTTCTTAAGAAAAAGATACCGATATAATTTGTGATATAATATATTTCATATTAACTTTTTATTACATTTAATATTACATTTAATTCATATTCATAAAATATAATTGAACAACCTGATTTCAAATCCTGGTGCTGACAAGGGAATTGTTCATATCAGTTTTAAATGGCCTCTTCAGTGCCGCGTGTTGGTGGCGAAGAAAAAAAACTGCACGGAGAGTAATCAGGTCGCTTGTAGCTTTCGAGAAAAAAATATTTAAAACTTGTTATTTTCACTAAAAAAAAGTCCGCCATTTTAGCAATTTATAGTTGTTACTCAAGGCGTTACAAGTAAGACTGGCATTTAAACTTGCCTAGCCGCTCAAACTAAGATCGTGACATGTGTCACTTTAGAAATATTTTATGTACAGATATTTTGAAAATATTAGATTTATAATCACTATCAACTAATGTGTAACACAGCTGAAGTACCGCGCCAAAAAATTCCAAAAGATGGCGTGGGCCCAAGAGGAGTGCCCGATTGCTATTACGTAAGTAGCAAGTAAGTAGTTAGTACATTAATGCAACACGCGAAGTAAAAAGATCGAATGTTCGGGCAACTCGCTATTTATCCCATTTCGGCTTACATTTGTGTTTTTGCCTGAGTAAAGTTAGCTTTGCGAGATCTGTCCATGTACCTACTTACCATGTAATGCAAAAATCACCTACTTGAAATGGAACTACCTACCAAATATCTTAAAGAAAAAGAGCGTGAAGTGAATGTATTATTAGGTATTGATACGTTTCATCAGGTACATCGATAATCACTTATAATTATAATCACAAAAGGTGTATCGGACACTCACTTGCCAACGGTACACAATAAATCTTTATGAAATATTCTCACCACTAAATAAACAACAAATAAAATTAGACATGAATTTTTTATAGATAAATTGTCGTTATTATTTTTCGCCGCTGAGAGATTCGAGCCTGCGTCTTACGGGCAATGCCCAGCCATTTGAGCTAAGCGGCCTATATTCTCAAATTGCCTAAATCTCCATACATATCCTCTTCTTTCAATAAAATTTTTACCAATACTTGGCGACCAATATGTATATCAAAAATAGGGAAAATAAAACAAGTGTTAAGCTATGTGAGCATCGCAACTATTTGTATCACAAAATATTAGTCTTGAATTCCTTACCCGCTTTTAGACTTCGCGGGTGTTGAATTCGACCTTCCGCTACGCGAAGTTCGTCCGGAAACTGCGTGCTGAGGAGGAGGAACAAAGGAAAGGCGCCGAGAACAAAGCCAAGGAGGCGAGGGACAACACGATCAATGACTTCTTCCTGAGATGCGACCGCAGGTTAACCAACCTTGCAACATTAAAGTTTGTAGAAAAAGTACTAAAGAGTCTTTTCGTACTTTTTCTACAAATTTTAATGTTTAATTTAAGTGCAGAGATTAGCACTATAAAAAAGAAAAATTCTAAAATCCTTGCAACGGTATCTGTATCTATATCTGTGCCCGCGACTTGTTCGCGTGGAATTTAGAATAAATAAAATTTCTAAAACAAAAGTAACTCAAGCTATTTTATCAGCTATTTGCCAGTGAAAGTCCCGTTAAAATCGGTCCAGCCGTTTCGAAGATTAGTCTTAGCCTTAGCGTGAATCAATAATTCTTTATAAATTAAAGGAAAATGAAAGAAAAAACTTGAATAAGCGCCGTTAAAAAGTTGCGGAATGAAACATTATGCGAAATCTGTCTTTCCTCCTATTGCTGATCTATTATTGTTCGTGTGACTTTCGCTGATTACTTTGATCCCGTAGATCTCTCATCAATGACGTGGCACGGCGAGTCGACCTCTGCATGACCTCGTATCAAGAGGATCTGAAACTGAAGAGGCAAAAGTTAGTTTAACCCTTATATGCTTTAATTCTAACGTGTTGTGCTCTTTTTTATGTGAGAAGGTGGCAATTGAGCTGGCGGTTGACCTTATGTCAAGTCATACCCACTTTTTAATAAAGTGGCCCCAGCTACATCACTCACCAGGCGAAACGCAGAAGTGTAACACTTCCACTTTACGCCGGTCTTCTGTGAGGTCGTGGTACTTACCCGGACGGACCTGCCCATTCGTGCAACAAGGAAGACTACTGCGTGACCCTACCGCTTACTCGATTAAAGATATTGTTCTAGAACTCATTATTATAGGTGAGTACCTGGAGGACCGAGCTTTGCTTGGTTTTTTTTTTTTTGGTAAATGATGTATTTTGGAAATTACATTTAGATACAAATTACTGAGTAATGAAATATGCATAACGTTTTTCGATCTTACCGTTGTAATAATAAGACAATATATATACAAGAATTGCTCGTTACAAGGTATAAGATTTATTTGTCTCATTGTAAGCCGTTGGGTTTAAATTCGTGAATCGCGAGCATAGTAAGATAGGTCCTTCTCGAGTAAGAGTTGTACCCTTACCGGCCCTCAAACCCGCGGGTTCTGGCTAGCCCGGTTCTGCGTTCGATGAAGCTCTAATATTCTCGGGACTAAAAGCGTTAACATCAGTTAATACAAGGTACAAGACTCTTACCAGACTGAAGGAGATCCTCGAGAGAGAGGAGGAAGAGAGCATCCGCAAATTCGTGGAGCAGGCGCAGGCCGGGGCGGAGGCGCTCTGGCAGGAGAAGAAGGATCGCCTGCAGTACCTCCTCGACAAGAGGAAGGAGGAACACGCCGAAAAGTACAAGGACACGCCGCTGTGAGTACTTTCAGACATTTCACCTTGTTGCTTTTGTTTTTATTACCTACTAGCTGCTGCCCGCGACTACGTCTGAGTGTAATAGGCTGAAGGCGTAACATTCAGACAGAAAGACGGATATACATAAAAATAGGTATATAAATTATAGCCTATGCGTTATTCTGATGTATAAGCTATATTATTGCAAAGTTTCATTAGAATCCATTCAGTAGTATTTGCGTGAAAGAGTAACAAACATCCATCCATACATAGAAACTTTCGCGTTTATAATATTAGTAATGAAATAAGGATTATTTAATAGTTTTAAAATCTGTCACTTAGTTGTAAAATATTTCTGTAAGCTAACGATATCGCCATTTAACTCCTTATCTCAGTTCCACTGAAAACCGGCTTTCATGAAGTTTTTTTAGACTTCGTTAAATGAAGAAAAAGTTTCGGCCCTGCGGGATTCGAAGCTGCGCCTTCCAGTTTCGCGCCCAGACGCTTTACCAACTAAGCTAAGCGGCCAATGATCTCACGGCGAAAATCTTGACGTCTGTCTACGTTCGCTCTATTGCAAACTGGATGTATTAAATAGGTCGAAATGTGCCCACGTGCTACCGTGTGTCTTCAAGCTTCGCGCGAAAGAGGCTCAGGAGATCCAGCTGTACCAGATGAAGGAGAAGCAAGCGCGGAGAGCTGCGGAGGCGGAGTTTGACAAGATGTGGCACGAGGTCACCATGAAGGAAGCGGACGCCTTGGTGCGTTCCAAACTAGATGGAATTTGTTACAAGCTAATGTAAAAAAGTAAAGTAACAGCCTACACATGTCCCACAGCTGCGCAAAGGCCTCCTCTATACAGAGAGTATCAGGGCATAGTCCACTACGCGGCCCCACTGCGGATTGGCGGACTTCACATATCTTCGAAACATTTTGTTGTTGTTATTCCAAAAATATGCAGTTTTCCTCATGATGTTTTCCTTCACCGCCGAGCACGTGATAAGTCGGTAGGACAGACCTACTTACAATAAACGATTTCATTGGTGCCGGCACCGGGGATCGAACTCGGGTTGCTCGAGTTTAAGCGGCGAGCGGACACTGGGCTATTACGGCTATAATTTTACTAAATACCTGCTCTTGGTTATGGCTCGAAATGTGCTTGAAGCGCAATACCTACCAAAAACAGTTCGAAAACTGACACAAAAGATATTTGAAATATTTATTTAATTGCTATCTGATTTATATCTTATTCTTCTGTCTTGTTCGCTAATATAAAGTGTATTAATATGAGCTTGTATTTATATGTGTATTAATATGTATTAACACTTATATATATATGGCACTGGATATTATAATCCAGTGCCGTATGTATATAAGTGTTAATACAACGACCCGAAGGGTACCTTATAGTGAATCTTCACATACACCCAGCTGCTTTTAGCACGTCAGAGTTCTTCTAAACCAGGCTTAAAGTACTTCCATTTTGAGCTCTCTAGTTATTTAACTGTGGTAGGACCACGCAACAGTATTCGCTGTTGCACGAATGGGCAAGTCCGTCCGGGTTATTACCACGCCCTCACAGAAGACCGGCGTGAAGTAGGAAGTGGGCCGGGGCCCAATTTGTTAAAAGGTGGCAACACAGCGGCGGTGGTTATCGCTTAACATCGGGTGACGGTTCACCCGATGTTAAGCTCGCTTGTTAACTTTTCAAATAAAAAAGAATTGAAAAATTAACAGGCTGCACGAATGGAGCACGACGCTATTGAGCGCTACCGCAAAGACCAGGACTGCAAGATGTACTCCGACTACGAGCTCGAGCAGAAGAGACTGCGGCGGGAGAGGGAGAAGGAGCTGCTGAAGCAGGAGACGCTTAAGTTTAGAGCCATGTGGGAGATGGAGAATAGAAAGGCGGAGGAAGGTGAGCGTCAGTTGGAATGTTGGCTTTAAAGATTACGAATCTTGTCTCCCATTCAGTTTTCGTTTTTAAAAGTATTTATGGTTCTTGATCTTGGTTATTTGTCACAGTGATTGTACATATTTAAACTTTAAAGCCACGTATCTAATCTTTTACACGAATGGGCAGACACCCCCGGATTTTTACTACATTCTCATAGGACGAGAAGTGAAAGTATTATAATGTAGCGTTTCGTCTCGTAGGTGAGGTAACTTTGGGAGGGACCTTTTATTGAGATCGGCAACGCAACTGCAAACCAACTGGTGTTGTAGATGTGATGTCCATGGGACCCGGTAATCACTTAGCATCAAGTGAACCGTGTATTATTTGCTTAAAAAGGAAGAAAAGGTATATTCTGTTCTGTGGTAGGGCCACGTAACAGTCCTCGCTGTTGCACTAATGGGCAGGTCCGTCCGGGGAATTACCACGACGCGTGCTCACAGAAAACCGGCGTGAAGTTGAAGTATAATACTTCTGCGTTTCGTCTGGTGACTGAGGTAGCCGGGGCCCACTCTATTTAAAGATAGCAACGCTTCGGCAACCCTACGGATGTTGCTAATGTCAATGGGCGGTGGTAGTCATCAGGTGAACCGTCAGATCGTTTGCAACCTTATACAAAAATATTTTTATACACAGGATTATAATTACATTGGTTGTATAATGTTACCCATTATGTTTTGGCCTTATGGTTTTACAACAGAGCCTCAATTTTGATGTGACGTAACGTCTTAAATCAGTTGCGGTCGCTATGCATTGAAAACCTGTAAGATTTACAAACAATTTACGGACAAAATTATTGGAAAAAAACTCCTTCTAAACTTGAATTCATACAAAAAATGTCTTTATTCCTCACAATAATTTAATATGCAACGTACAGAGGAGCGCGTGCGTAAAGAGAGAGCGTTAGAAGTAGCGGAGGAGCAGAAGAAGCTGTTGGCGGAGCAACGGGAGAGATTGGAGAGGGAGAGAGCGCACGAGAAAGTCGTCTCCGAAGCGTGGGACTCTCTTGCGGAGCAAGGGATCGCCGATGAGAAGGCGCAGATCGAGCTGAGGAAACGGAAAGAGGTTCTCACCTCGACCTCCTTGTTGCTGCCACATGAAATAACCAGTGGTAGGGCGACGCAACAGTGTTCACTGTTGCACGAATGGGCAGGTCCGTCCGGGTAAGTACCACGACCTCGCAGAAGAGCGGCGTGAAGTAGATGTGTTACGCTTCTGCGTTTCGTCTGGTGAGTGAGGTAGCCGGGGTCCAATTTATTAAAAGGTGGCAACGCATCTGCAGCCCTACCTAACAGGGTCCCGTTTCACCCTCTGGGTACGGAACCCTACAAGTGTACTTGTCGGGTGACAGACGGACAAACAGACAGAATGACAGCGGAACCTCAGCAACAGGATCCCGTTTCACCGTTTGGGTACGGAACCCTAAAAGTGTAGTCATCGTTGACCGATCTGGTCGTGCCTCTTAGCGCGAGCTCGACGAGTGCAACAGGCGGCTGCTTGAGCTCAAGGGCGAGCTGGCTCGCTTGGAGATTCTGGACGAGGCGGCGAGGGAGGGGGAGGCGGCCAGGGGAGCCGAAAAGGCGGACAGAGCCAGGTGCCAGCACGTGCTCTGGGCGAAGCGCACGGGACGGGTCAGTTCTCCCTTTCTTTTCTTTTTTATTTTTCAAAAAGCATTGCGCTTTAAATCATGGTTGGCAAGTGGCAACCCTACTTCTGACCGTGTTGGTGAATAAGAGAAGAGGATAGACTTTATTTAAAGGCGGCAACGCATTTGCAACCCCAAGGGTGTTGCAAATATCCATGGGAGGCGGTTATCACTTAACATCAAGTTAAACGCCAGCTCGTTTGCCGCTTTCTCACAAAAAAAAAGACTAAGAAAATGTATTGATATCTTGATTTTACGGCAATATTATACAAATTGAATGAAATTACTTTACCGATTTTATCGCGTTTGAATTTTGATTTTTAATTTCCGACGTTTCGAACCCTTTCCTGCGTTCATGGTCACGGGACAGACTCGTAGATATTCTCATCATTTCATCTCTTGCTCTGATTGATCATTCAGAGTTTAACCATCCTTTCGGCAATTTAAATAACATTTGAAAAGCCACTTGCCAGCTGATTGGTAAACGTCTTATTATTACAAGTCTTGATGTCAAAGTTAAGCCGGGCTACCGGCAATTTTTTTTTATTCTGATCTAATTGTTTCCGATTAAATCAAAGTGAAAATAATTATTCCGGTCGTTAGGTAGTTAAATTGGGAGAGTTGCCAAGGTTTATATTGTTCAAATCAATTTTTACATTTCTTTCGGTGTACAGGAAGTGAGCCAAGCGATAAAAGAACAGATCAAAGAACGCCAACTGGAGAAAGATCTGCTCATGAAGAAGAAGACGGAGGAAGAGGAATATCAGCGGCAGTTGTTCGCTCAAGTGCAACAGCTGGCCGATTATAAGAGGGCGGCGGACGCAGCGAAGAGGAAGGCACACCAGAACAACTTGCGCAAACAGATGGAATACACCAACATATTAAAGGTGAGTAATGTATGTAAGACACTCAATTTATTTGTTAGTTCTACTTAATTTCACTTTCATACAATTGTGATAAAATTGAAGGCTTCACAATATCTGAAAGGCGACTGAATGGAGTCCTTCAGTAAATTATTTTTTTTTTTATTATTAAAATTTTATCATTCATACATAACTAAAACATCAATATAGATTAAACAACCAATCAAACTGTGGTAGGACCACGCAACAGTCTTCTCTGTTGCACGAATACGCAGGTCCGCCCGGGAAACTACCACGACCTTAAGAAAACCGGCGTTAAGTGGAAGTGTTATACTTCTGCGTTTCGTCTGGTGAGTGAGGTAGTCGGGGCCCACTTTATTAAAAGGTGGCAACGGATCTGCAACCCTGCGGGTGTTGCAGATGTCAATGGGCGGCAGTTATCGCTTAACATAAGCGAACCGCCTGTTTGTTTTCCACCTTCTTTCATAAAAAAAAAAGAATTACGAAGCCTAGCATAAAGTTGAACAGATTAAGGAAGACGACTATTGTCAGCAAACGCACGTGTAGCAATAAAACAAAATCCCATCAGTCGCAGACCTAAGGAATCACTTTTGGGTTGTCATGTGATCCATTCTTTTAAGCCCAGACGCCCATTTATAAAATGACATAAAGTTTGATGCAATCAATGGCAGGAGCGAGCGCGGCAGGAGGAGTTGAACCAGTTGAAGAAGTACAAGATCGCCACCGAAGAGTACGAGTGTGAGATCGCCAAAATGCTCTCTCGGTGAGTTTGACACTGTGTGCCTTACTTTACTATCCTTGCCTTACTATCGAATTCTGCTGTGATACAAATAATAATTATCATTTTGGGACACATTTTTACACGTTCTCTAATCCCGAAATAAGCAAAGCTATAGTACAAGCTTACTAGGTACTAAATAACTGATAAACATAGATACTCAAACATTCTTTTTTTTTAAATACTTTATATACATACATGTAACACACTCAGAAACTAGAAAAACACTGTTTATCACACAACATTTTTCCAGTAGTGGGGGTCTCTGGCACAAGAGGCAATATATTTATTATAATCACTTACTCAATTCGTTCTTTTTTGACACTGACACCCTCAATGTAGACAATAACATATATAAAAATAGGAATTAAAAATTTTAATAGTGCTAATCTCTGCACTTAAGAATAAACATTTAAATTTGTAGAAAAAGTACGAAGAGTATGTCGCCGCAGTGGGAATCGAACCCACGAATTATCGTTGTAAAACGATATTTCGTGGCCGCGAATGCAGAACACTTGGGTTTGATGCTTTTTCTACAAATTTTAATGTTTAATCATAAGTGCAGAGATTATCACTATAATAATTTAAATTTCTAAAAAGCAAACACGACATCTCTCGTTCGAATTATCTTTGTAAAACGATATTTGGACTTGTTTGTATGCTGGAAAGGATATAACAGTGGATGCTCCAAGCATTGCTTCAAATGCTAAAAAACAATGTAGATAAGATTTTCTTCCTTGTAGCAATCAGCCGTTTAGCTTTTCCTCTGATTCCTTAACTGTAATGTTCTTCTAATCTGGTAAAATATGAAAGTTAAACATACAATTATTACTAATTGTAAACAATGCGTAGCACGGACCATCTCGCAATAATAGACTGTTCTTATTTTGTCGTGACTTGTAAACATAGAGCCTTGAAAAGATTCTCTTGATAAAACAAAAAACAAATGGTTATTTATTTTTCTTATTTTGAAGGTTTTGACAATGATACGTGACTGACATTATATAATTACTTACACTTTTATTACATTATGTCATGACATTTTTTGTTAACTGTAGGGTTTAGCGGAGTTATATGAACAGACATATTCGTATTGTTGAAAAATTTACGGCGCTGCTAGGTTTCGAACCGGTGTCTTCTGAGTAAGTCATCCAGGCGTTCTAGCCACCTGACCTAGTCGTCCGATAACCTCAATATCTGTTCATTTCGATCATTAAGAAGATCATTCTGATCAGTTCAGTCAATTTAAACATAATTTTAGTAACTCAAAAGACATTTGAAAAGCAATTTGACAGCTGATTAGTTAACTTCTACGATGATCAGTGTTTCAGAAACCGGGCGTAGGTATGTATTTTTATTTTGCATTTTTAGGAACACCACATAGTGAGTTAATAATTTTTCTTATGCTCTGATAAAAAACCATAGTACCTGCTTGTCAAGTCATTAAATCGAGAAAAAATCATTTATTCACTAGGGATCTCTAAACGTTGCATTTTCTGTTGTCAAGATATCTTTGATGTTTTTCTAATTTGCATAATAGGTTATTATATTGAAATATGTAATCTTTTCTTTCGTTCGTGTGCAGCCAATATCGCAATAACGCAATCCTACAAATAGATTTCATGTAATAATCTTAATTGCATTAACAATTGTTGACGATAATAGATACAAAAGGCTTGCTCAATAGGCAAGTAGACCGGTCGTTCGCCTTGTTGAGGACAAACAAATGCCTCTTTCGACCTTTGGCCTGACAAGGCTGGTGGGGTCTCGGTTTATCTCCACTTCCAGATACATTTTAGCTCGGCCTCGGAATTTTATTGCGCGCACTATCATTAAATATCATATATTAAGTACGTTTCCGACAAGAAATGGTGCATATGTGTATACGTTGAATAAAACCTTCTGAAAGTTTGGCTTACCTTTAATAAAACGCGACAAAAACCTATAAACAATCGTTTTTAGACATAACAAAATATTAGTATGGATATCTCCACTTTTTTTTTATTTCATATTCGTGCGACGGCGGAATCTGTTTGTGTATACATGTAAAAATTGTGGTTGCTTGTATGCTATCCTTTCATATGGGTAACAGATTTTCGAGTATTATAAATACCTAACTCTCTTTCAATTAAGTATACTCGCGTAACCTGACAAACTGTTAATTACAATTTTAAGTGCTAACTTGTCACCGAGTCAGCGGTGAAGGTAAGCATCGTGAGGAAACGAAATAATAACAAAAAAGACTAGGCCCTAAAAGACCCCCACTTCAGAGGCGGCAGCTGCCAGCATTGGGGTACATATACCAAGGCTTTATACTTTTTTTGATATAAATAAAATGTTGCAAGTAATAGCATAACTGTCGGACATATTGGCTCGTCACCGATGTAGTCTGCTGATGATGATTTAGCAACCTTAGAAAAATAAACGGAAAAAATGACAGCCCTCGACGCTTGGAGATCTTGTGAGTCAATGGGAAATTATTCCGGTTTGCGAAACAAGCCGCAGCGGCGATCTTATGCTTTATGTCCGGAAAACAACATTTAAGTTACTGTTGTATCCATAAAAGAAATTCGATGGCGATAAATGCAATAAGTACATTATTTATATAGGTACTTTTCCGAAAACAATCTCTCTGTAATAGTTGATTTTTTTTGCTGTTAGCGTAGATTCTAACGTTAGGTCCAATGATATCATATGCAATAGATATGACACTAGTACACCGAAACTGAGGCACTCAAATTACACCAATTGGTGTAATTCGTAGACTGCTATCTCTTTCCGTATCATAAGTTCTATATCATATGTCAATTGTTGTGCGGTGCAATTTTTAAACGCCACGCAGTATTTTTAGGTAAACATCATTGGTTAGGTCGGCCAATTGTAAAGGTGCTAAAAAGCCAAAATTTTTGTATATTACTTTTGGTAAGAATGTCTCTCATCTTTAGTACCAAGGGAATAGTTGCCAACCTACAAAAGATTACCTTCGATAACCTGACTTATCAAACAAAACGCCAATGTAGAATTTTTATATTTGACGACCGTTTAGCGTAGTGTATAGTGAACCTGTCTCTTAAGCTGAGTGTGGGTTCGATCCCCCCACCCCTGAAAATATATCGAGTGATAAATATATTAGTGTCTTGTGTGTTCTTTATAATAAGTGTTTATTTACGTTCAAGTATGGTTTATAACCCAAACCCTGCCGAACAGCGAACGAGGCTCTGACGACCCACCAACACCCCTCTATGGTAATAAAAAGATTGGCGAGGCCCCGAGTGCCCGGCGGCTCCAGTTGCAACGCTGGCGTTGACGGGCGTCAGTCGAGCATTGGAGCCTGGGGTGCTAAAAATCTCCGGGCGGGTTCCTTCCGTCAGACGACACAGGCAAACGTTAAAACGGATAACCGACGACGTAGGCTTTCACTGGTAACCTACAACACGCGCACGCTGAAGACGGACGACGAGGTCGCTGAACTGGAAGAAGAATTGGGTAAGTTGCACTGGGATATTCTGTGGTTATCTGAAGTCCGAAGAGAGGGAGAGGATACGATAACTCTGAAGTCCGGCAACTTGTTCTACTACCGGGAGGGCGATCAGCAGTCCCAAGGTGGTGTTGGATTTCTCGTGCACAGGTCCCTCGTTAACAATATTATATCCATCACGAGTGTGTCGAACAGGGTAGCGTACCTGATTCTCAGAATATCAAAAAGATATTCGCTTAAGGTCATACAGGTCTACGCACCGACCTCAGCACACTCAGATGACGAAGTGGAAGTGATGTATGAGGACATTAGTAGGGCCATACATACTTCCAAAGCACGCGTTAGCATTGTAATGGGGGACTTTAATGCAAAACTGGGCAGGAGAGGCGAAAACGAACTAAGAGTGGGGCCATTTGGATATGGACAGCGTAACTCTAGAGGCTAGCTGAATTTCTGGAGAAAGAGGGACTCTTTATGATGAACTCTTTCTTCAAGAAGCCGCCTCAGAGAAAATGGACCTGGTTGAGCCCCGACGGTTACACGCGAAATGAGATTGACTTTATTATGGCCACAAAGAGACAAATATTCAATGATGTCTCTGTGATTAACAGGGTAAAGACCGGAAGTGATCAGCGAATGGTCAGAGGCACGTTGAATATTAATGTCAAACTAGAAAGATCCCGCCTGATAAAGTCAATGCTCCGACCCGCTGTAGCTCATATTCATAACCATGAAAGCTTCCAGCTCGAACTGACTAACCGCTTTGCCTGCCTGGAACATTGCACATCGGTGGACGACATCAATAATGGGCTGGTGAAAGCTGTTCACGCGGTGGGATCCAAATTCTTGCGACCCCGACGTAAAGATAGACCACAAAAATTATCTGATTCTACCCTCAACCTAATGGCAGAACGACGCTCGAGCAATCTCCTGAGGACGCTGAGGCATATCGGCAGCTCAATAGACGGATCTTTCAGTCCTTGCGGCACAAAATTAGTCAATTTAACACAAATCATATTAGAGATATGATTGAGCGTAACAAAGGATCCAAAGTTTTTGCAAGAGACCTGTCTATTGGGCAAAGCCAGTTAACTAAGCTTAAGAGAGAAGACGGCAGTATAGCGTCTACCAAGCCGGAGGTACTGAAGGAGTTCGAGCGGTACTATGGACAGTTATACACCTCGCTTGCTAAGCCCGTTAGCAACTCGGCCAAAGACTTAAGAGCCAAGCTTGCCCGACATTACACCGAAGATATCCCGGACATCAGCCTGTACGAGATAAGAATGGCTCTCGTGCAGCTTAAGGGCAACAAGGCGCCAGGACAGGACGGAATTACTTCAGAGCTTCTGAAAGCGGGTGGAACACCGGTACTGACGGTCCTACAGAAGCTCTTTAATACCGTCTTGTTCGAAGGCATAACGCCTCAAGCGTGGAGCGGAAGTGTGGTGGTGCTTTTCTTTAAGAAGGGCGATAAGGCCTTACTTAAAAATTATAGACCCATCTCACTTCTGAGCCATGTCTATAAGCTATTTTCGAGGGTGATCACCAATTGTCTCGCTCGCAGGTTTGATGATTTCCAGCCACCCGAACAAGCCGGTTTTCGAAAAGGGTATAGTACCATAGACCACATCCACACGCTGCGGCAAATTATACAGAAGACCGAGGAGTATAATTTGCCACTGTGCTTAGCGTTTGTGGACTATGAGAAGGCCTTTGACTCCATCGAGACATGGGCAGTGCTGCAGTCCCTCCAAAGATGTCAGATAGACTATCGGTATATCGAAGTTTTGAATTGTTTATACAATAGCGCCACTATGTCAGTCCGAGTACAGGAACAGAGCACGGAGGCGATTCTATTGCGGAGAGGTGTGATGCAAGGGGATGTAATATCTCCGAAGCTTTTCACCAATGCAATGGAAGACGCCTTCAAACTCCTGGAATGGGAAGGACTCGGCATTAACATCAATGGCGAACTTATAACTCACCTTCGATTTGCCGACGACATTGTGGTCATGGCGGAGAGACGATGGAGGAACTCACCACGATGCTAGAAAGCCTCAATCGGGTTTCACAACAGGTGGGTCTAAAAATGAATCTGGACAAGACTAAAGTTATGTCCAATGCCCATGTAGTGCCCACCCCAGTGTTTGTGGGGAGCTCGGCCCTCGAAATTGTTGACGAGTATGTATATCTAGGACAAGTTTTCAAGCTAGGCAGGTCCAATTTCGAGAGAGAGGTTACTCGACGGATCCAACTCGGTTGGGCAGCGTTCAGCAAGCTACGCAGCGTCTTTACGTCCAGATTACCACAAAGTCTGAAGACAAAAGTGTTTGACCAATGCGTACTGCCAGTGATGACTTACGGTGCCGAGACGTGGTCTCTTACTAAGGGCCTCCTAAAGAAACTCAGCGTTGCTCAGCGGGCAATGGAGAGGACTATGCTCGGGGTTTCTCTGGGAGATCGAATCAGGGATGAAGAGATCTGCAGACGAACGAAGGTTACCGACGTAGTCAGGCGGATCTGCAAGCTGAAGTGGCAATGGGCAGGGCACATAGCTCGTAGAACTTACGGCCGATGGGGCAGCAAGGTTCTCGAGTGGAGACCACGTGTTGGAAAACGCAGTGTAGGGCGGCCACCTGCGAGATGGACTGACGATCTGTCCAAAGTCGCGGGACTTCGCTGGATGCAGGCCGCTTCAAACCGATCAAAGTGGAAATCCCTAGAGGAGGCCGATGTTCAGCAGTGGACGCTTACAGGCTGAAATGATGATGATGATGATGATGATGATGGTTTATAAGTTACCTAGTACCCATAGTACAAGCTTTGCTTAGTGTGGGACTGTGTTTTATTAAAATATGTCTTGAAAATATTGATTTTTTTTTATACCAACAACATTTATATCTATTGTCAACTTTTCACATTAAAAAAAAAACAAAAATGCAGTCTAAATTCACAAAATTTAAAAGAATGGTATAAAATATGTTGTTAGGAATACAAAGAATACTTTTAGAATCAATATTTTTTTAAACCAGGTTGCGTTCAAAACGTCTATGCTCACAATTATTAAAAATTACCGTGTAAATCTCTTATGATTAATATTTGCAATTTCCAGACCCTTCTTCAGCGATGAAGTTCACCCTTTCATGAAGCAAATGGCAAAAGGCATGAAACTGACCGAAAAGTGCCCATGCTCCAAGAGTGACTACTGTAAATGATAAATCCTTTGATATTTTTTAAATTATACAAGAAATTCTGACGTGGTTTTATAAATAGAAATTAATCTTAGTAGTATCATGACGTTTTTTTCAATAAACACTTTTACGATTGAAGCATAACACAGGAATGGTATTTATCGAAAAAATGTGTAATACTTGTTATTTTATTAATAGCCGAGCTCAATAATTAATATGAATTAAATATATTATAATAATCACTATTTATTGAACTTGTATCTTTAATCATATTAATAAAGTTTTCATTTTAGCATTTATTATTTTTACTAACCCGAAAACTGGTCATTACCCGCGGGATTACATATCTGTAATTTGTGATTTGTGAACCTTAATAATTTTAACAAAAAAAACCGACTTCAAACCGTAACTTCCAAAAACTAAAAACATTATTAATACCTATAATGAGGATTGCCCTCCATTTCTCTGGGATGCCATCATCAGATCTGGTTTCCTTATCATGGTACCACCGTTGGGATATCGCCTTTCGAAAAAAAAAACGAATTCATCAAAATTGGTTCATAAACGAAGAATTTATATGCGAACACACATAAAAAAATATATATAGTCGAAATGAGAAACGGTTTAAAAGAGTGGAACTCTATCACCTCATTTAACAGACGAAAGTCTAGTCTTCTATGAGGCCGCGGTACTTCCCCGGAGGAGGCCTCCGAGCGCACAGCAGCTTCTGCAACAGCTTACGCTATTGCGTGGTGGCACCGTCACGTTCGTTTCGTGTAGTTTCCACGGGTTCGCACCTAGTTCCACTGCTTTTGTCGACTTGCGAAACGTAAGAGGTTTAAGCTAAAATTTATGACTTGGCATGAACTAACTGGGAATTCGGTCTGAGTTTGGTGGTTAACATTGGTCGTGATAAATTAGTATCCGGGCGCTCGCCTTTAATTGAATATACTCGAACAATTAAATTGATAATGTTAAGTGCTGACTTATCACGTGCTCGGCGGTGAACGAAAACATCGTCAGGAAACCTATATATTTGAAATGCCAATACGCAGTGGGGTCGCGTGATGGACTATGCCCTTTAAACAAGGGAGGGTTTTGCCCAGCAGTGGGATATTTATAGGCTGTTACTTTACTTTTATTAGTTAAAGTCTCAATGTGTAATGGGCGATACACCTCGCTCATAATTAGCATAAATGTACGACAGCATTGTTACGACAAGGAAAAGTCGTTACCTAATGTGATTCAAACTGGCGAATGTAACGCGCTACTAGCGCGGCCTCAGCCACGAGCACCGATGACCTATGTGCACTAATTAAACTATATTTTATTCCGTGTGTTTGAAAAATTCAAATAATAAACATGATAAGCTGATAGGAAATTTCATATACCTATCATCTTTAATTAAGTAGGCCCATCGAAAGAATAGACAAATAATGGAGTATAATAAATGAGACTCATTTATTATACTCCATTATTTGTCTCATTACCTTTACTACTGTTATTAACTTTATTCTACAGCTAATGCATAATCACTTCAAACAATTCTTATTTAAAATCTTACCCTGTTCCAAAAACATGAAAAAAATTTATAAGCTTTTAAGGAAATATAGTACTTTTTGTTTACGTGCGTAATATTTTTAGTGTAATCGACATTGACATTGATATGAATCTAGCGGATTAGACAACTTCTCGGAATCTTGTATACGTGACTGATTCGAACTTGCATACGTGCCTAATTCTCATGCTTGTCGCGCATCCCGAGACGCTAAGCGCGGACGGAAATATATCGATGATGTTACGATGATCTCAATACGGCGAATGGCTAGAAAAAAATATAAAAAAAGACGATCTACAGCTATAATTGTACCATACACTCGGTATGGTATTTTCAACGGTGGTGGGCAACGCAACAGTTATTCGCTGTTGCACGAATGGGCAGCTCCGTCTGGGTAAATACCACGACCTCACAGAAGACCAGTGTAAAGTGGAAGTGTTATTAAACGTTTCGTCTGGCGAGTGAGGTAGCCGGGACCCATTTTATTATAAGGCGGCAACGCATTTGCAACCCTACGGGTGTTGCAAATGTCCGTGGGCGGCGGTTATCACTTAACATCAGGTGAACCACCAGCTCGATTGCCACCTTCTCTGATAAAAAAAACACAATTACTATATTAATTGTATAATACTTCTACCTCAAGTTGGTCTTGTTCTTTAAGCTGCAGTCGAGCCTACACCTTCGCGTAACAATAGAAGCTGTAACCTAGTAAAATTTACTTTTCAGTGATTGGTACTTTCGGGTACGTAATCAGGCGATACTATTTATTAAATATGAAAAAAATATTTTTTAAATACGTACGTACGTACATTGGTGCAATGACAATGATACAATCGCGCTTTGGTCGTAACAACAATACATTAGTCATTTCATAAACTCATTTCAATGGTAGTAATACAATTTTCCTCTAGGAAGAGGTTAATTCATGCCAATAAAAAAAATATTACGAAGGCAACAGGCAATGTTGTGATTTTAATCCAAAAATTTTCCTCAAACGGATCTTTGTATAAAAGCTCTAGGAATTCACAAAAACGGCACAGTCTTATCCGAGCATGATGGACGTAAAGATCTGGGTACTATTTGCCATTGTTAACATAGTCCGATCCCGCGACATTGTCGTTGGTACGAAAGATGGCGGTCGCAAAATATACGACGAAAATAAGCAAGCGAGTCCGGCGATATGGCGACAGACGGAAAACGTAACGATTGCTGCAAACGACACTGAAGTTATTAGGGGAATCGTGATCACAGACTTGCGAGTGGAAAAAGACGGCGATGCAAAAATTGTCGAAGGGGGAGAAGGACAGAAAAATGTTACTATAGAACTGAAGAGTCCGACTGTACTTCGTGGTTATGAATTTCATATAGAGGCTTATGCTATACCAGAAGACACTCAGACAACAACCGGGAATTCCAACAAGTATACTCAAACTATTGTGCCAGCGGAACAATCAAGCGAGACACCATCTCCAAATGCTGTTGGCTTGGGTAAGCAACTTACATCTTCGACCACTCAAGGATCACCAACAAACGTAGCAATAATTAATCATAGACAAAATCGTGATACAGAAAACAAAGATATGACTACTCAAGAAGTTAAAATGTTAGTTCCGTTGCTAACAAAAGTTACCACAACCGAAATGTCCAAATTACCCTCAGGCGAAACATCCACTCCACTTGTTAACCGTGATATAAAAAACCTAGGAACAGATCACAAATATCCAACAGTAAATAGAGAAATTGAAGATGGAAATAGATTTGATCACCCAAGAGTGAATATATACGAGGTTAGCAAAATGCCAGAATCAACGGCACGGAACATTCCTTCAACGTACTTTAGAATGCCTCAAGAAAATTCTTTTACTCAAGGTGTTCACGCCAACGACGACAAGACTGTACAAACACCCTTGAACATGAATAAAATGCACACGCATATTCGACACCCCCAATTTGCTATCAATGATTCAAAACAATCTCCAGAGCCTATGGCTAATACTGGCTTATCTTCCCTTGAACATGATAACAAAAAAGAAGACTTGCGTCACAAGCGTGACGTCGACGGAGAAAAGAAAGACAATCCAAGACCCATTGGCGTAGATCACAAAGTGCATAATGTTAAAACAAACCCTGTTAGAAATGAAACAGTTTCTGGAACCATGGACGTTAAATCTAGCTCCCATATCTCAAGAACTAATTTCGAAAATAATCAAGGCCAGGGTTTTAAAGTTATTGGTACAGAAATGAAACATATTAGCAACGAACAAACTCAACGAAACACGCATAGAGACCAAGACTTACATAAAAGCTTTAGAAATATAGCTGATGTTGGTGCTTCTAGTGTTTTCTCTTCTACTGAAATGAACAAAATTTACGCTTCACTTCCAACAGGAGCTGAGTCAGTACAAACCGACGGTAAATTTAACAAATACTCACAACATAAACCAATAGAGATGGAACAATCTAGTAGTACAAGTTTACCTGTTGCCTCTTTGACAACCGACAAATCATCATCGAGTAACATTGAAAAGTTAGCTAATTCCAAGCTCAAGTCAAAGATGGCAGATCCCGTTAACACTGATAATTCACATGATTCCAAGGTAGTTAAAGAAACTAAAAGGAATGCCCGGGATACTACAGGCAATAATAAGAAGGATGCAAGCGATTCATTACAGCCCTCTATCCTTAACAGTTCCTCTACTACAATAAAACCCGGAGTCATTTCGAAAAATTTATTGGAGGACCATGTTACCAACACAGCTCCGAAAGAAGTTAGCCCCAAAAACAACGAGACCAATAAAAATTATAATCCAACAATGTTGCTACAAACTGGAGTTAAGGATAGAACTGCTCGGGATGCGTATGACGAAAAGGAAAAGCATAATGTACCTAATACTTCTAGAACTGGCATCAACACTTCTGGCGTCTCGGAAACGATAATAACTAAACAGCCTATTTCGGAACAACAAAATAGTGTGAACTCCTCAAAAGTTAACATCACTACAGAAACTACTACTATTGGTGAAGATAAGGAAAGACAAACTCGTGACACAAGTTCAGAAAATACACCCAAAAAAGCAGAAGCCTTAAGCATGAAAGCTGTAGCCGAAGAATTTGGTACAAAATTGCAAATAAATGAGACGGAAGTCAACACCGAAAAGTTCCCCAACTTGGTGAAAAAAACCTCTTCCACTACTGATGATAGAATAAACAAAAATAAGGAGGAAGAGACTAAAGCCCGCGTATCGAACGAAGCAGGTGAAGATACTAAGGCAAATATGCAAATTGAACAAGACGACGCAAATATTTCGCCAAAAGTTGATTATCAGTTACCAAAAATCGCGAGGGAAGTAAGCGTGCATGATGTTTCTTTGGCGACTGATTTAAAAGTTGAGTCAACAGACAAACCTACTACCATCAGATCGATAACTAAAGCTCATGATGAGAAGGAAGTAAAGAAACCAAACAGTGAAGTTACTGCTAAACCTAAAGAAAAGCCTAATTGAATAAAACCAACGCCAATTTTTGGTGTTTAGTGGTTATTGTGTTAATGTTACTCTTAAACTGGTTTTTTTAATTCTTAGTAGTTTGTAACAATTTATATTTATTAAATTAAATATGTTCATAACAAAATAATATATTTATTGTTTAGTATTATAAAAATCAATGAACAAAAATTAATATCACACTTCTAAAATATGGAACTGGAATGATGAGGAAGCTTTATCAAGTTTTAGACATTACAATTTATATTTACTTTATTACAGATTTGATTTTAATATTATAACGTAGCTAAAAATAGTATAAAAATAATATGCGATTTTTTTAAAAGTATAAAATCAGTTATATTTTAACATAAAAATTCTCAAAATAGGAAAAGGCACTTGAAATATTGTTGATGATCGCTTCTAAAGATTGAATTGAATTGGTCATTCCAAAAACCTCTCACACAATTAGTTTTTTATGGAATCAATAAAAACTGTTTCATGCACAAACAAACGAGTTTTAAAGGATTTGATTATGTTTGAACCAATTAGAGCAACTAAATTTAAAACATCATACTCAGCCAGATATAACTCCCGCCATCTAGTAGTGCATGCTAAAATCTTCTGATTTAGGAGATTTTTGCATGCACTGACTAATGGCTAATGTTGTTTATTTATTTATTTTTATTTATTTAAACTTCCTGCACAAACATTTGTGTACAAAGGCGGACTTAATGCCATCAGCATTATCTCCCAGTCAACCTTGGGGTGGTCCAGAAAAGTATTTAGTGAAATTCTTTATGCAGTATTATTTGAAGAGAAAGGAATGTATTGGTTTACGTGGTTTTTACACAGAATACGCATCTACCTTTAAGAAGTCATTTCAGCAAAAAAAAAAACATGTTTGAAAAAATGTGAGATGAGGTTTTTAAAATGACCAATTCAAGTATATAGGTAAAAAGAACTCATTAACATTATGGAACATTGTCTAAAGGAATAAACTGTGAACAAGCTTGATACAAAATGATAATTTATTATGTACCTATGTAGAAGTACCTGACTATCAACATAATTATGATGAAAAAAGATCAGAATTTATTTGAATGATGCTTTATAAGCATTGCTATTACTAATCTCCCCAATGTGATATGTATTTTCTGTTATTGAGTTATATAGACAATAACACTCATATAGAGTTATTGTTTATACATATAACTCAAATAAAGGGCATTGGTAAATTATAAAATTAAAATGATAATACCCTTATTTTGAAAATAACAAAATTAAATATACAAAAATATAAGAAACCTATTTTTGATTTGCAGTTTTGCCATGAAATTTATTTTCCTTTTTAAGTTTGAGTATAAAAATTCACAGATGAAATTTCAAATATACTCATATCTATAAAATTCAATACTATTTATTATTACAAAAATTTAAGTCCTATATATTAAAGATATTTATAAAATATGCTCCCAATACAAAATATGTAAAAAATTTATCAAACATTATTCCAATGATGAAACCAAAGATCACAATTAACTGTATGAAAATCGTCTAGCTAGGAATGGTTTTCAGTCAAGACTGGTATACTGATGTCTTTTTATAAAACGATAAAGTAAATTAAATATTCATTTTTGAGATAAATAGATATGGTGTATAGCACTCAGTCATATTTCACTAATGAGCACACAGGTATACCCTCTGGGATATTTTTACGACCGTTCAATGAGAGTAACTCCATAACTGCAACGCAACCTATTACATTGGCACCGCAGCTACGCAGCAGCTTAGTAGCAGCACCTATGGTCCCACCCGTGGCTATTAGGTCGTCAACAATAAGACATTTCAGTCCTGGTTGTATTGTGTTCTTTTGAATTTCCAATATATCCTAAAATATAAAACATTTATTTAATGTTGTAATAACAGTAGTAGATGCTGTTTTATATTCATGCGGCGGGTGACGGCTAACCCACCTCAACTTTGCACGGGTGCAATGTAGATATTAATGGGGCAGTGTGGAGTGATCAATAATATTATGCCTAGTCTACACTAGAGGACATCTTTATATAAAATATTTACAGCTGTTTTTTATGAGACAGTGCAAATATTTTTTTTCTGAGATATTCATTTTAATATCCTATAAAAGGCAATTTCAATCTACATGAAATATGTAACCTTGGATAAGGAATAATACTGTGTTCTTTAAAATAGCTTAACAAATAGCTTAGTAATATGCAAGAGATGTAAATGGTTACTGTGGGTTATCTTTAGGAGATAACATATACCTATCCATAAACATATTACTTTTAGCCAGTTTTTGCAATATAAGCATACAACATTTATTACTACATCACATTCCAAATCTTTGAATTTCCCAGCTTTTCTCTACTAAAGCATGCAATGTATACTACATATTATAAATCTCCCTCATGAATCACTCTATCTATTGTTGAACATTGCATTAAAATCCATTGCATAGATTAAAACATCTAAGCGAACAAACACAACTTTGTTTTATACCGTAATAGAGGTAGGGCCATGCAGCAGCCTCGGCTGTTGCACGAATGGGCAGACTCATCTGGATAAGTACCACAACCTCACAGAAGACCGAAGTGGAAGTATAATTAATGCTTTCACGTTTCGTCTGGTCTGGTGGCTAGAGCCCAATTTTCAAAAGGTTGTCAACGCATCTGAAACCCTCGGGTGTTGCAGACGTCCATGGGCGGCGGTATTCACTTAACATCAGGTGAACCATCTGCTCGCTTGGCAACTTTTCACATTATAAAAAAAATTACCATGTAAAGATTTATCATGTGATGTAATCTGATAGTACAATGCTAACCTTCATAAAATTTTAGATACAGTTAACAAAGGCAGTAGCAGTGTATTAGTTCCTTTATAATTTTAGTATTTTCAGTGTTGTTTGTTGTGGAGTTTTAAGGGGGACTTTGTTCAACAGTGGATATCTTCTGGCTGATGATAATGATATTAAATTTGTGATAAAATATTTCTTTCTTTACATTTAAGGAAACAATTCTTACCGAACCATATTCCAAATCATATTTATAAGCCTCAACTTCACCGGGCAACTTCCCTTTTTTTCTGACTGGTAGACATCCTACACCAAGCTCAGCAGCAAGTGAGAATGAGAACAGAAAACCTCTCGCTTCTAGCCCTACTATAGCTTCCACTCCTGGAAAGTTTACCTTTATTGTTTGTATAAGCAGATATTGCAATAATTTGCATGTTGAACCATCTGAAACTGCTGAGAATATGTCCCTGAAAGCCAAAATTTTTTGTGTTAATAAAATGTATTAAAACTTTTTTAATTTACATGTGGCTGGGCTTGAGGCTCCCAATTTTAGTGTTGTGATTTCCATTCTTCTGAATCGCCTTTCAAAATACTACTTGATACAAATAGCTAACCTACTAACTAGCTTTCTACATATAACTAAGTTCAAAAGTCCTAAATATAACATGTAATGGGATATTGACATACATGAAAGATATTTTTCTACATATTTTAATACATGAAAGAGTTATAAAAATAGTAATTTTTGCACATAAGAATTACGTATAATGGAGGGGTTTTTTAGCACATTCCACTAAGTTTCGATTCTTGATCACCTTAAGATTGCAAGTTCAGCTTCCTATCCAATAGACAATCATTAAACATGATAAGAGAGTATTTTCTTTTTATATTATTGTTATAAATTCATTTCAACCGTACTAAGGTTACGTACATAGATAACCGCATAAAATTAAAAATATTTCTACAATTGTGATACATGAAACTTTTAAAAATGTGTTAATATTAATATGTGAACATTTGAGTAATTGCTACCACCACCAATCAGTGGGTTTGTATATTTGTTTACTTATAATCGTACAAAAGATTATTAGCAAGCGCCCCAGTTAAAGAATACATAGATATCAGTGAATTGGTACTTGAAATAAAATAAACATTTACCAGAATAAAATGCCTGGTTTGGGAAAATCAGGAAAACTTTTAATTTTGTTTTTTAATTCAGCAATCTTCTTCTCAAAATCATTGTCCATAGCAATAAAGAAGGACCGAGTAATGTTCTACGATAATAATTTAAATGATGTTTAAAAGTTCATAGCTTAACCGTTCAGTGTGGTGAATGCTACTTACTTTACTTTGGTAATTTCCATATATTACAAAGTACTCTGTGGTAATTTCAGATATATAAAAGTACTCTGACGCTCGGTTTCTGAAACACTGATCATCGTAGATGTTAACTAATCAGCTGTCAAATGGCTTTTCAAATATTATTTGAGTTGCCAAAAGGATGGTTAAAGTCTTTGAATTGATCATTCGAATCATTAAGAAAATCATTCTGGGCAATTCAGAGAGTTAACCATCCTTTTGGCAAATAAAATTAAATTTGAAAAGCCATTTGACAGCTGATTAGTTGACATCTACGATGATCAGCGTTTCAGAAACCGGGCATTATTATGTCTTTTGTAAACCTATTGGTAGGTTAATTTAAGGGATGTCACAACAGTATCGATATTTTTATTTAATACATCAATATTTTTAGCCGATATATTTTGATCCAATATATCGATACCATATATTTAATACCAAAAATCGTATCAAAAACGATATTTTTTTCAAATTCAAATCCGGTACAGAGTATTTGTCTGGAAGTTGCATTAAATACTTGATATCTACGACTTCTGGAAAAATACTGGGAGTAAAAATACAAGAAAAATGCTATTTAGTTTTTTATGGTTAATTTGTGATATGAAGTCGTAAAGTACATTTTTTTTTCGTATATATCATGGACATAAATTATGGATCTCGTATATCAAGTTCCGTATTTTTTAAACCAAAAAATGTTTGTAACACAATGTGGTACTTTATTTCGTAAAGTGAATTTAATTTATTAATATTGTGGTGACTCATTCGCTATATTGTAGCACCGCTTTTGTCTTATGTACCCTAACTCTCATGTGGTCTAGCATTTCCCTAATTTGACAAATTACCAAAGAGAATATAAGCACTACAGTGACAATAAAAGATTATGGTTTTCTCAACTCGGCTTGTTCTTTGTAGTGCACCTTAAATATTTCCTCCTGCCGGCTCCCAAACTGGTTTCCCCGACGTGATTGCACATGCAGTGTTCCTAAAATATCAATGTCCCGCGTATCATCATATATTTAAAAAACTGTGCAGAGTGAAGTGAACAGACAGAATACAGACAGATTATTCACAAATCACGGCTACACTGATAATCATTATACAGTAAAAAGCGGGCGCGGCGATTATGCTATGTATTTCACAAGTTTATTTAATAAATAAAATTTTACGTAAATTGTTTATTTATTAGATTATATTGCCTATAACATATATTCGAAATTCATGATATATGTGATAATTACACGTAATTATGATTGAAAAAGAACAATTTCGCTCATTGCTGCTGATAATTTATATTTTGATTAAAACTTGTACAAAAATAAATTTAATCTTAAGTGTAGGGATTAGCACTATAAAAAACTTATATTTATATTTTCATATTATATTTAATTATTATTAAGATAATATTTTTTATTCACATAGTATAACGATTTCGCTTCATTTTGATTTAAGCGTTGTACTTTTGTCCTAATCCTCGGCTCTAACAAAAATTAAGAACATTGCTGTCACTTGGCAGGTCATCAGATGCCAAATGTCAATGAATGAGTTTAAATTTAAAAATATTTGTAATAACGGCTTTTAATTTGTTTAACCAAATAATATGCAATTTTATCTTATCTCACAAAATGAGTAAATACGGTTAATGATACAGGATTTTTGTATAGAGAAAGCTTATCGTTGATAATCACGTTAACTAAGAAGTGTTATTGCTATTTTCCCGCCATTGTTAAACTTTCGTTCGTATAAACAATGTTATCCTCAACGGATTTAGAAAGGCTAATCATGGAGAAAAGGCGTGAAATAGAGAAGGAGAAAACTGTGTTAGGCATAAACCCGTCGCTGCATAGCGTAAGTAAAGAACTACTTGTTGCATTTTACCGCCATATCAAATATTGATTTTCAAGCGCGACCCCTCAGCTCTTACCAGGTAACCCGCAACTCAGCATTCCGTCAGTTACGAGACAGCAATCTGCCGATACGGTCATATTTCAATCGTTTATTTTAATGTTTTGTATAAAAATAAATCGCGTTAATGGTTTATAGATGTATTAACTATAATTTTTCGATGGACATAGCGCCCTTTATTTGTTAACAGACTGTTTTTAACATAGAATACATGGTTCGCATACGTCATCTGATGCGGTAATGTTTTGATACGACTATAACAATTTCAAAGTGTTGTTAATTTAGCAGTAGTCTTAGTTACAGAAAAAAATTATAAAAATACACCCAATGACTATGTAGGCAATTGTGTTATTTATTTACTTAAATAATATATTTTGGATAAAGTTATGGTTATAAATCACTTCTTATAAATGCAAAAAATTTGGGATATGCATTTCATTAAGATATATTTGTAGCCTTATCTAAAATATTGCTTCATTAGAAGAAGAGAAGAACGTAAAATCCCGATAATAACTGTTTATATAAAAACTTGGTTTAATAATAATTTGTAAATAATGGAATTTGAAAACTTTAATTTTTAATTCTTTTAACCTTTAAACAGGAAATGTCTACTACATACATCTTTTTTGGACAATTCTAAATAACAACAATACCATATCTTCTTAAGAAGATACTTCCTCCTTCTTGAGAAGTTTCCTCCTGGCACTCCATAGGCATTTGTACATTTCTTACTTCTTCAAAGTTATTCTTAAAGCCCGATTTGTGAATGCTAAATGCTTGGCTCAAATTACTATCTCTTCCAGAGCCAGCTTTTCTCTTAACGGAACTGGTCTCTTGATAGAGCTGCCAGATTAAAGTTTAATCTGAAGTTAAACTAATATAATATATGTATATAAAAATTTAAACTAAAAGAGTAGCTGATGGTTTAAACGAAATAATAAATCTTTCAGAAGTAATCAAACTTCTTAAAAAAAACAAATTTGGTTAGGGGGGACATGACCCTCATCCGTGCTTGTCGGCTGATATGGCTAAAGACCCGCATCCCACATGGTTTGCTTTACTTTGAACACAAGCACATCACCATCATTTAAATGGTTACTAACAAAACCTTATTGATAATCTATTTCAACATTGTTATATGTCCATTAAGTCAAAGCTCCCATGCTTTCTTGCTAATTAGCCATCCAGACCTACCATATTAGTATTTTCCTTCTAATAGTAGTGTGGTATTTAAGTATTTAATCTTTGTATGACAAATGAACCAATGAGATCGTCATACCTATTATGTTTGCAAAAGTCAGCAGATACGAGTGGTGTCAGTTTTTCCAGAAGGCAAAAGTGGTTGGAGAACCCACTCCAATACAAAAAAGGAAAGGATAAAAGCAGGATGGGAACAAAGTGATGAGAGACGTGTCAGGTTCGTGGAAAATGGTGCACCATTGCCTCTGCCTGCCCCAGTGGGTACAAGCCGTTGCATATGTATGTATGTATATGTAATATTCTATGTATGTATCATCATCATTTCATCTTATTTGTGTCCACTGCTGATCCAGAGCCACCTGCATCCATCGACTTCCCGCACACTTGCACAGGCGGGCACTCCATCTATTGGGGGGTCCGACACTGCGATGGCCAGTACGAGGTTGCCACTCAAGAACCTTTCTTCCCCAACGTTTACCGGTTCTACGTGTTATATGACTGCCCCATCGCCACTTCAACTTGCTTCTGAGCTATGTCGCTTATCTTTGTTTTACTGCGGATGTCTTCGTTGCAAACTCTATCACGCGACTTTGAGCTTCTTCATACGGCCAGCAGTGAAGGACCAAGTCTCGGTTCCCGTAGGTCATCACTGTATGTGTCAGTCAATGTATGTGTATATATATTATTCAGGCTAGCTGATTAGCTGTCGATAAGGCGATGAGAAATTCCGTCGCACCGTCCCTATCTTCTTGAATCGATCTAACAATATATGCCCATAATGACTTTTTTGCATGATCCAAATCAATATAATATTCATTCTTTCACTTGCTATTAATTGCTTTAAGTAAAGGTTAACGAAGTATCGATTCACTTCTTTACTATGACTTTACACGTGGGAAGGGTGCCCTAAAATATTATGGATCTTTCTCGACATACACACATATAAAATTCTTCGTTTTCTTTGGAATCTATAACCTTCGACGTTCACCCTAGGGATGTAATATTGTATTTATTTTCTCTTTTAAATTCTTGTTGTTTGCTTTAGTTTTCCCGATTCTGTGTAGTATTTAAAGAAGTTTGTGCTTTCGTTTTCTTTAAAGATCTTCAATCGCAATCAGTAACCTCGACTATCACTTTATCAGTGTTAAATGCGTCTAAAGTAAATTAGTTATTTTTCTCAGATATATAAGATTTTATTCATAAAACTCCACATGAAATGTAAGTTCATGTACGTTAAATAAAGTATGTACTAATTAAATTATTCTTATTGTAAAATTGTTCTCCTACCTATCTTCTAATTTAACATAACTATTCGATGGATGGAGGCGGGAGTAACGGAAAAGTCTTTGCGGTTATTTTGGAAACTGTCGATCGAGTTTAGCACTAACAGATCCTTTCATACAATGTTCGACCTGCTAATTTTTAACACCGTACAACACGACAGAACACGAAATAGCATCAATACACTAGACGGTTGATGGTTCACCGCCGTGTGTTCACGGGATTTCCTGACCTACATACCCACTTCATGAGCTTTATATCCAGCGGTATATTCGGACCGATACGACTTAAGGGCACTTATAAAAGAGATCCTATCCTTAGTTGAAAGGCCGCTGACGAATTCGTAACTGCTCTGATGCTGTGAACATCCATCGGCTTAGCCTCAGGTGACCAGCTAGCTCATTTGTCTCATCTGCCATTAAAAATAGAAGACTCGGAGAGCAATAAAAGCCAAACTAATAAAATAAAACTTATCAATTACGCTAGAAATACTAACAGGAATATTCATGCATGCTTAAAAACATGCATAAAACTGCTTAAGGTTAAGTATCTTCAGAATTTTGCTTCGACATCATACGAATTTAATATTCCAACGTAATAATGCTTTACACTAAATTGCAACGTAATATATATATATTTTAAAACATTGCCCTCACTGTAGGATAACATTATCCTGTGTTGTAAGAACGTTTTTATAAACATAAATTTCACGTGGTCAAACACCCAGATGCGAAACAACTATCTGTGGGTCGCACAAATAGTTGTACCGTGTGGGAATCGAACCCACGAACCCCGACGCCGAAGCCAATACCTTGGCAACTGCGCCACGGAGTCATCAAATATACATATAACGCTACCCTATTTATTTCAGGATAAGAAAAAAAAAACGTGCGGATTTTTTTATATTATTAGGAATATACGGAACCAATATTGAGAATGCAAAATTTTGTATATTATTCAAATCTCTATTAATATCTAGTCACGTGGCGATGTTAAATACGGACCTATTTCGTATCGATTAGACATTAAAGGTTCTAACACCCACCCTTAGCTTTGAACGTCCCAAATACAGGACACGTCAGCTATGTCCTAAATTAAGGTCATTCCACATGTCTAGATCGTCAGATAAACTTTACGGGCTTTTGTGAGCTCGTTAACATTTGTCCGAAAAATTGTTCGCTTTCAATTAGCCTAGATTGAGTATCGGAAAAATGTTTGCCTACGTTTCAATGATTATTAACCTGAAATGATATAAAGTGAAGGTAGTATTTTTGAGACTGTACAGGTGAGTAATATAAAATAATGAATTTAACTTCTATGTTCTAAGTAAATAAAACTTACGCTTAGCTTAATTTCTAATTTTCTGGTTTTATTTAATACACAGTTATACTTATGACATTAACTTTTTATGCGTAATTTTCTCGTCTAGAAATTATTACTTACACATTATATATTTACTTAAACATTACATTACATAGCCGTACTCATAATGAAAGCTTTGTTTCCTCTTTTTCACCTTAGATATTAGAAAAGCTGCTGTTTATCTACATGCGAACTAATGTTTTTATATATTATATATACGGTTTTTATATTCGAGCCCGACACTTAACAACTTTTAATGAGTGGATATTAAGTTAAACTTTCATGACGGTTCTTTCTATGTACTTAATACTACCGTATGTAGGTCGCAGTTGTTCATGAAACACTAAATAATCGCCACTGTAGGCGATACCGTATAATTTGCATCCAACAACTAACTGCTCTTTAACTGCTTCAGTCTGGCGTGTGGGTGTCAAATCCGCTCTTAGCTGGTCTCGAGAGTCAATTAAAAACATTTATATTAAACAGCACTTAGGCACTATTGAAAGGACTCATCTTTAGTTATTTTAAGGGGTTAATATTGCTCCGATACAAGTATAATTTCGTATTTCTACAAGAAAACGCTTAAAAAACTGTACATTCTTTCTTGAAAATATTATCCCTAATTCTAGCTATGCTAACCACGATTCGCCAAACCTGTTTAGGTGATGAGACTTCGCCTTTGCACAAGTTGGTAACCCTTACATATATGTAAGAGAGTATCTTTGGAACTCAAGAAATCCAAAAAACTGAATCTAATTTGTGCATGTTACAAGGATTTGGGGCCCCTTGACTTGCAACGCTAGTATGATTACCCAAGTACCAGTAAATTACTACCTCTTGAAATATTTGTAACGAAAATTTGATCAAGATACACTCATCTTATCTTATTCAAGGAATATTTACAACTATAGTAACGTACAACTATCGACGAGGGTTCGTTTGAATCGCGTAACTGTGGGTTGTTTCAGAATATAGAAGAGAGCAATAAAGAAAACAGCAGAGGGAACGACAACAGATCCATCTCTGAACATCGGCCGTTGCAAGGGGACGATGGGACTCTAATAGACACGCCGAGCGAAGGTCTAGAGGAGACTATATCGCCGGGATTGGAGAGATACATACGGGTGAGTTTTGCGTTTATGATAATAGATAAGTATGTATGTGTGTGTAGATGGTACTGTAGTATACTGCGGTATATACGGGATATATATAAACCGACCTGAATTGGAGGTATTTGGTGTGAGGCAATCAGAAGTCATTATTTCAAAGGTTTAACGCATCCAACTTGTTCGGGGGACTTTCTCGTCAGCCGCTGTAGTGCGAAATCTCTACCCGAATTAATAACGATCGTAACGGTTACTTAGAATTATAATTAAACCGTACGTGGTTTGGCTTCCTGGTCAATTAGTCCTTTTTAAAAACTCAGTTATCGTTTCTATATCTAAGAATAATAATATTAAAGGAGTACCAGAATGTGGTGTCTTCTGTAAGTCTAACTCTAGTTATTGCATTCAATTTTAGTATGTTCAGTTTTATATGCTTATTATTCTATCAAGCTCTTGGTCGAGTAAGTTTTGAATTATTAAGATGTTTATTGCTAGCTTCGGAATTCTATCCCATATAATGACGATAGCATTCTTCATCATAATCGTAAAAGACGGAATTTGTGACGCCTCAACAGTGTGGTTCCTTCAATGAATTCTTTGCGACTACTTGCGAAATCGCATCGCGAATACTCTGCTGCCGGATGAACTTGAATGGCATCCACCGGGTTCCAAGCAATAAACGTTGCTTCGGATCGCGTGCCGCTAAACGCTCGCCTCGGCTTAACTGTCGCGATTTTATGTCTGCCTCTGAGACGGGCCAACGGCTACGGCGATTATGTGCTTGGATCGGTAAAGAGTTTTAGGATGGATCGGTACTAAAATGTCGTTAATATTGTGTTACTTAGGATTCTCTGTCCTTTCGTTTGGCTGATAACCTGTGTCCTATTTTCCTATTTTAATGTAATTTCAAGTAAACATTATTGTAAACACACATTATAAACATTATTTAAAAAAAGCCTTTATTTATAAATATAGACTAGTTTCAATTTCTTATAAATGTTTCTACACACAAACAATTGCTTAAATGTAATAAAATATGTAGTATATTTTCGTCTGTGTGAAGATAAGCCGTTTAGCTTAGTGGTAAGAGCGTCCGGCGTGTATCCCGTAGGGCGCAAAATCAAATGCTACGTAAAACGTTTCGTTTATTTTTCTACAAATTTTTAAATTTCATCCCGCGTGCTGAAATCACTATGAAAATTAATATCCTTTAAAAATGTCTATACCCATTATCGTTTTGTACAATTTAAAATACCTTGGACTGAGCAACCCTTTTCACATAAAATTTAAATGAAATAAATTTAGCATAAAATTAAACCTAGCCAGATGTATTCGTGTTTAGTCTGTGGCTTTTAATTTTGGTAGAATCAGCAACAAAATAAAGATGGTGCTGTCTGACTTTACCACAGTATAAATTACTTTGCGAAAGAAATCAAAGCGCTCTTTGTATTGCACTATATCATTCCAACACAACGCGTACACAAGGTACACCCGCGTTCCGGGGCGGTTCTCACCGCCCCCAGCCATCGATTAGCTAATTGCACAGTCGACGGCCATCGGGGTTTCGGTCCGAACCGCGACCTCGATGGCCCGCAGATGACACACCATAGTTAAACGCACGCATGAGCACATGCGTGGCCCTACCCACAGCGGAGGGCCCAAACCCGTGGGCTCTGGCTAGCCCACCGGTTCTGCGTCAGATGAAGCTTTAATAGTCTCGAGACTGAAAGCAAAAACATCAGTTAATACAAGATACAAGACTATATCATTCACCAATATAGTCAATCGCGTTCTAAACATTCAAACTGGTTCATTCATTAAATTCCTAAATTACAATTTCAAAGAAATAAAAATAAATCCTTCTCGCTAAACATGTCTATAAGTACATTATTACTATGTATTGCAATCCCAAATATAACATTGCTATGGGCGCCTAGATACCCGAGTTAGCACTTTGGAGATTAGCGTTATAGGATTTTGGCCAACTTAAGTTTGCCAACTTGATCCTTTCTATCGGCTTACTTCTAAGTCAGTACCTGTCAGCCTAGTGCCGGCTAAGGTAGTTCCAGTAAAGGATTCCCTCTTTGTGGAAATGCTATGTTTTTTCATCACCTTTAACAAAACTAGTGTTCGGTAGTATCTAATGGTCGCGGGAACAAGGTAGGTGTTCAATACCATTTTTTTAATATATGTTATTGCATATATAATATTGCCAATTCTGTGATTTTGTTCCGTTTAAAGTTATATGCACATTACTTTTAAATCAAAAACTTATTGCAATTGTTATTCTTTGTGGTAAATATGATAAATAGCTGCACGTTACATTCAGACTCTAATTTTTAAGGAACCACGATTAATAGCATTGATTGGTTAGTAACCATGATTGGTTCACAAAAATCCGAATAGCAATTGTTTTTTTTTTTTTTTGTAAAAAAAAACATTGCCCTTACTGTAGGATAAACTCATCCTGTGTTGTAAAGACGTTTTACAAACATAAATTTCACGTGGGCAAACACCCAGACGCGAAACAACTATCTGTGGGTCACACAAATAGTTGTCCCGTGTGGGAATCGAACCCACCACGCTCGACCCCGAAGCCAATACCTTGGCCACTGCGCCACGGAGTCATCTAATTCTCTAAAGTCTCTATTGGGTGTTAAAAAAAGAACTGTAACACAACACACAATGTGGCCTTGACTGATAGAGATGATTAATTAATATTCGTCTAATGACGCCGCCAGCCTAACGCGAATACACAAATGAAGACGCCCAATCTATTGGTCGAATTGTAATCGCCAATGCCAAATCAACTAGAGGCCGGTTTCAATATTCTATCTACAGTCAATTTGGTTACGAGCGATAGGTTTTTGACATTTGATCTATAATGCTTACGTCAAAATTCTATCTCGAGTAACCAAATCTATAGTAGATAGAATATTGAAACGGGCCGTAACACTGCGTCCTGCACATTTTATGCAGTATATGGTGGCGTAGGTGCAATATAAGGCGGGTATAATACCAAAACATGGCAAAAATTTTGCAAGACATTATCTTATCACAAAGTATCGATTACCATACGTTTCTAATGGCTGAACACAGTGTCATTTTCTAATAATTAATGAGGGGGGGGGGGGGGCCAGACAACAAAGCAATTAGCCGACGTTCCTCACAGCCCACGTATGCCCCCTTGTTACATTATGACTTAATAGCGTACAGTCGTTCAGACAATCGTTACGTGGAATTGCGCAGTTACGGAACCACGATGCAAGTGTAATTGGCCGATTTAATTTTGCAACAGCCATTACTCGTGTAACATTAGTATAGACAAACGTTACTCGTTTAACGTTTGTATAGTATTCCGGGTCGCTAGTTTTTTTATAATTGTCAATACATGAAACATTTATATTAAGCAACACTCATCTTTATTTATTTTGTTAAAGGCTAAATTATTCAACAAGCAAATAACACCCGATAGCAAATTGCAATGTGTTTAAATCGTCTTCTTTTCAAATCTCTAAAATTTTATAAGAACAATATATTTTATTCGTGAATTTACAAATTTATTCTAAGTGTGCTATTATTTTTGTGCAAATTTCGGCTATCGTAAGACATTGCACATTTATTAGGCTCGTTTACATTTAAGTAAAAATATAATCAAATATCCAATAAAAAATAAATGTTTGTTTTTACAAAACTTTGCGGTTTATCAGAATCACTCAATACGTATCGAAGCCGAACTTTATTTAGGCGGTTTTTTCCCGTAATAAATAAGGTCGTGATTCGTGTGATGGCTGGAATTCAGTATGGTGGGACCACGCAACAGCTTCTGCTGAAGAACAGACAGGCTCGTACCGGGAAATACCACTGCCACAAAAGACCAGCGTGAATTGGAAGTATTATGCTGCCCTATTTCGTCTGATGAGTGAGGTAACCGGGGCGCACTTTTTTTTAAACGTGTCAATGCATCTGCATATCGTCAAGTGTTTTACATGTCCACGAGTGGAGGTTGTCACTAAACGTCCTGCTCGCTTGACAACTGATGACGTGATGATTCGTAAAAAAACAACAATTATATGCGAATCTCGAGTAGGTTTGTTTTCAAGTAAAATTATACGTAAATATGAGTAATAGAATGAATTCTTTTACGCATTTTATCGCCTTCATTTACTTATTATGACTTTACTTTTAAAACTTATTATTATTTTTTAAATGCTAACTTATTTATGCACAATATCGGTAGCGTCGATTGCGTTGAATGTAGCTCACGGGTGGCTTGTATGAGAATTTGTCCGCAATTAGTCACCCATCGTGCGTTTTGAGGCTGCGGTTTACGTTAAACGCAAGCTGTGTTCATACACAATTGCATAACGCACGAGAATGTTGTATCTAGTGTCCAACCGTTTATCTTCCTGCCTGACATAAGTTCCTGGATTCCATTCTCGCTCGAGACAGTTTTGTGTAATACACAATCGTTCGAATCATCTGAACGGTTTAAAGCGAGTCGAAGAGTCGTGGATTCGATCGCCGATAAAGTGTGCCTTAGTTACCTCACTCATCAGTCAGATCAAGACTTCCACTTCACCCCGGTCTTCTGTAAGACCCTGGTACTTCCCCGAACGAGCCTGGCCATTTGTGCCATGGGAGAAATTGCTACGTGGCTACTACCACAGAATACTGTGATAGTTCCACGTGCACTAGCATTAGGGAGTAGAATAAAGATTTGAGATGTGGTAATGACTTTAGCAATAAAATCTAAGTTGAGCATTAGCAATGGGCAGGCCTCTAAGATCTGATTGGGTATAAAAGTTCTCGAATGTTGACCACGAACCGAAATACAGTGTTTGGAAGGCATGAGTTGGTCGTATGCAAATGGCAATATCGTTCGTTGCGGTGGAAGGTTCTAAGGGGAACGTCTTTTTCAAACAGTGGAAGTCTTCTGGCTGATGTTGACGATGATGAAAATAAATAAGTTTCCGACTGACTTTATTTACGCGAACTAGAAGACGTGTTCAAAATGT